GTTATGGCCGTGGATGTTCAGGGCTGGGCCAGCTCTGCCTGGCTGAGGAGGCCACATGGACCTTTTAACTGGCTCAGGGTCAGCAACCACGTCTGGTTTGTCCTGCTTCTCTGATATGGTGGCTGTGCTGAGGGCTGGAGCTGACCCCACTGAATCCCAAGAACACTGAAGGTACAGCACCACATGGACCTCCTGGAAAGCAGGGCTCTCCCCAGCCCCAGACCTGGTCAACCAAGGCTCTGTCCAGCCAAGGATGGAGACAGCAGGAGACCTTTGGCAGCCTTGTCCCAAAAATTCTCTGATAGAAGATGTCCAAATTGCCCCTCCTGCACACTCACAGCTGTGCCTGCAAAGCCCTGCTGTGACCTGTGTGATTCAGCAACCAGACCTTCTCCTTCTCCACTGCCCAGCTCCAAGGTGAGCAAGCAGAGAAAGCTGGAAACCATTTCAGTGGCATTTCTGGGCACAGTTGAGAAAAGTACCATTTTTACCTCAATTTCATAGGTGACAGGGAATCAACAAATCTGACAAGCAGCATTTACTTTCTCAGAGAAACATTTTCTCTTCTGGATGGCAGACTTAAAAGCAAAGAAATTTGTGCCTTCAGGGTATCTTTAACCCAATTTTAGAACCTCTTGGAAGTCAGAGCTATTAATGGACTTGTTGCTGGAAGCTCAGCTCCAGTGTTTTAAATGGCTGTGAAACACGCTCCTGATGGGAGAACAAGCACAAAACCAAGAGGAAAACAGGAATCTGTTATCTGATATTCCCACCCCTGCTCATAAAGTTCTCTTTTTCAATGCTAGAGTCTTGGCTGGTGTTAAAGAGTCCTGTAAAATTGCCTTGACACCTTATCAACATTAGTACAAAAATCCACCCACCCTTCACTAACACGGTGGTGGTAAGGGACAAAATGGGGATTTTACAAACCTGTCAAAGGAAATCTTTTTTTCCAGGACTTGGCAGTTCTGCGATGAAATGTTGTGTATCTACAGTGATCTACAAATATCAAATGTTACCTTTCACTGAATTAAGATTTTTGACTTTTAGTAGCCTTATTTATATAATTGATACTTGCTTCAGATACTTTGCTCCAGTATTTCATTACCAGCTGATATATCCAGGTCAGCCTTGGCAGGTTAGTGCAGAACCCCACTCCCTCAGCAGGATCTGTAAATTTAGGTCAATTTGCATAACTTTGATGAACCTTTAGAACTAAAATGATTAAAGTGACAACTTCCATTGATTCCCTGCTGAGGTTGCTGACCTTAAATCACAGAGGTCACAAAAAATATGTTAAGAATCTGAATAATCTGCAATTCAGAACTCCATTAGATTAAGCATCTCTGTGCAGTGGGGGGATCAATATGGCTTAAAAAAGTGCACAATGCTTTATAGTTTCTCAATAATTAAAACCTCTCATAGGAATCTCAAAAATTTCACTGAATACTTTTTTTTTTCCTCAACCTCACCAAATGCAGTTTTTAAACTGACAAATGCAAAGATAAGCACTTTAAGTTACCAAAGTATCAATTCTGCAAATTTTTCACAAAACTGCAACCATCTATCTTCAGGGTTTCATATATTAAAATCCAACCACTGTTCAGTCAGAGGGCTTGGTAGATTTCCGTGCCATATCAGAAGGGATGTAAACATTCAGTGTTTGAGCTTTGTGAGTACAATGACAATGATCCCTTCCTACGTCACCAAATAAATCATCGGGCAGGAACTTTTCCTGACTACACAAGAGAACCACAATGACACATGGGCTTGGTATTGAAGAGGCCGTGACTCCTTGACACTGCACAAAATCACTGTCCAAACCCAGACTTTCTTTCACTAGAACATAATTTTTTCCATTTTGGAACAGAAGCTGAGCAGGAGCTCTGGTTGGCTAAGGAGGAGGTCCAGGAATGCAGTGCCACCTCTTGTGAGCTGTGCCAAGGGGACACTGTGGGGAGGTGACAAGCTGGTGTTCCCAGGCACCTCTTACACAGGTGAGCTCCACATCACTCCCACTTCCCAGAGCAGAGCATGCTGGAGCAAGCTGACTCCATCTGTCCCTGACATCCAGGGATCAGCCTGAATTACCTCAACCAGCTCTAAATTTTCAGAGAAGTCTGCACCCTCTTGGTGGCTGGCAAAGGCAGCAGCAGGTTACAGAAGAAGGATGGGACACATCCATCAACAGTCCCATTTTAAAATGAAATATAATTAAATAGCAGCAGCACTGTACAGGGTTGCCTCTTGATGACTTTTGCTCTGAATTATGTGAACCACAAACAATGTAACATTTGTTGGAGTGTGATTTACATGGAGGAAGGAATCCCACAGCATTTACAATCCCTCTGTGAGTCAGGCTTTGGTATCCCTGCTCTGTCACATCCAGCAGGTGTTGAAGAGAGAGGAATGCTGCTTCTGAGACAATTCCACTGGACAAACTCCTCTACTGAGTGAGAAGTATTATTACCCAGCCTTTGCCCCAGCTACATGCACTGCAGTGAAGGCAATGGGTTGTGTTTACAGGTGCCAGGGCAGTGTGTTCATTCAGCAAATTGGAAGCCTCAGACAACAAAGCAAACAGCAACTCAGGTCTTCATAATCCTTGCTCCTCAGTGGCAATGGGTCTATCAGGCCAGTGCTAAATGGAAAATAAATATCCTGTGATTTTATTTTGTAGACTGACGCCGCTTCCCATCAGGGCCACACACAGAACTGCACTGAGCTCCAAGGGAAGGGTCATTAGCCACAGCACAGCCAGGGATGGGCAGCAACTGGGGGAGTCTGAGAGCCACCCAAAACATGTTTGGGATGACAGAGTGCACCAAGAAGTTCAACCTTGCACTGCTTCTTGTTTTCAAAAATGTTCCAAATATCTAAAACCTCACCTTCCTAACTGGAAAGAGGTGCTTGCTATGTTTACCAGCCAGCAGGACACCAAAGTGATGGTGGATCTCTAACAAGGGGTGTGTGTACTGGGGAAAGCTCCAAAGCTGCAGTGGGGCTGTGCTCTGTCCCCAGGCTCTGTCTGCACAGTTGTCATTGCAGTGGTGTGTGTACAGCCAGCCCTTACACTTTTGTCTGCAGAAGCCACAGCAATGCACTTCTGCACTGTCCAGGGTGAGCCTAGCAGTGACATTTTATTCAACTGGGTCCCAAATGGCACATTTTGTATATCAGTATTTAGTGCCAGTCTATAATTAGAAGATAATTTTTTCCAGAGCTAATGAAAAGATGCCCTAGCAACCCCTGGATATGATCCCAAATCCATTAATACAGCTCAAGTGATTCCATTTCATTTTATGTGGGACAGACCACGAAGAAAGATGCTGCCAAGTATTTCCAACCAGGAATATGCTGAGACTTGGTAAAAAAATGATAGTAGAATTCATCCTGTATCTGTCCCTGTTATATACAACTTGGAGAGAAACTGGGAAAATTAAATAAGTAATACTTCCTGAACCATGATGGTATTTTGATAGAAATAAGGCTAAGAAATAACTCTGATGGAAAAATAAAGATAAATGTATTTCTAACACCCATAATGAAGACACGACCTGTTTTTATGATTCATTAGTGCCAGCTAATAGAGGCAAAGATGCTGAGTGTACCACCACAGTGAGCCTTAGCTGCACTTTATCCCTGCGTGCCAGCCTGGATGGATTTCAACCACAGGGTCCTGCTGAGACCATCAGTGACCATCAGTCTCCAAACACGTGGCTCCATTCCACATCCAGCACCTCCAAACCCAGACTCCACACCAAAATCAGTACCTCCCAGCACTCCCACACCCAGCTGTCACCACAGTGCCCAGAAGTACACTTGATTTAGCACGTGAGAGCACAGCTAATGATGACCCACATGAAAGGAGTGCTAGGAGAGATTTCAGAACAGCCCAACATACTGTACTCTGCTTGGCATGGGTGCAACACCCATTCTGTGTGTGCCTTTCTGTTTGGATAATGTTCTTCAAAAGCAACTACAAGCCTTTTAAACTGCACCGGAAAAGCAGCAAAGAGCTGCCAGGATGAAAGTGGCTGCACTTCCAAGTGGGGCTCAAGGTCTGGCACATGCTTGTTCATCAGAGATACTCACCAGCACCTGAGCAAATGCCAGAAGAACATCACTTCATTGAAAACCCAATTTTCACAGCAAAACAGCACGAATGGCCCATTTTCACTGACCAACCTGTGCCTCTGCACAGTGAGCAGAGCCCAGCAGAGCAGGGGGGGCTGGTGGCTGCATCTGATTAATCCCAGCCCAGTGCCCCAGTTCCCTGGCAGATCCCAGCAGAGCCCACGCCTGCTCTCCACAGGCAGAGCCCTAAAAATGGAGTATGAGCTGTGCAAACACCACCTACCCCATGCCAGGCATGCAGGCCCTGGAGCACAGTGTCCTCAGCTCCTGCCATGGCACAGTCACCAGCTTTTTGGATTTATGAGCAAGGTAAGTCCTGCTCACAAAGTACCAACCAGACAAAGAAATAACAATATAAATGCAATGGAGACCCACAGTGAAAGGCAAATGTGCCTTACACAGGCAATCTGAAAAGGTCACCAGAATGTTTGTGGCAAGGATACAGGTATTTTCTAGCTTTGAACAACAAGGAAACCACTGTGATACCACCCCAGAGAGTGAATAAATACTGCCCCAGACCATTAATTAGCTCTAAACCAATTGTGATCTAATGAAACCCTCTACAATACAGCCACCAATTCACACACCTCAGTGTCATCAGTAGAACAGGCTGTTAATTAATGTTTTTCTGGAACACTTTCAGAAGTTGAGCTCTCAAACTATCATTCCTCTCCTGCTCCCTCCTTTACAATACAGATGAAAGGGGAACATCCTGTTCCCAACTACACAGCACTGGAGGAGATTTCAAAGACAAAGATCAATGCCTCATCTTCTGATTTTTGGCATGGATCTTATCATTCAGGGTTATTTCTTACTTGACAATTCCCAACAGCACATTTTACTTATTTACAGAGAGACAGGAATTAACAACAGCTCATGACATTTTTATTTTAATGAAATTTAAAAAGGCAGTTATTAGTTATACATACACACAACTGATTCTGTACTTGTTAGTCATAAATATAGAACATTCAGAAGTACAAAATACACTTTATCCACAGCACAATTTCACATCAATATGAAGAGTTTAAACAGATACGTAACCAAGCGCCTAACAATGACAGAAGCCCATTTTTGGAGTTGTTTCCTTTTTTTTCCCTTTCTCTTTCTTTTTAAAAGACCTTTAATCTACACAAAGTAATCAGTGCCTACAGTAATCAGTTTCATGAAATGCACTCTGGTTTAGAGTAGGAGAAGTCTGACTTTTTAAAGACAATTAGATGCCATCACCTTTTCTTTACTCCATTAACAGCAACAAGTCCAAGCCCACATTCTCTTCTCACAGTTAACAACTGTGAAAAATGGGGCTCTGGCAAAAAATCACCTGAAGCCAAAATTGAGCACTGCCAGGAAAAGTGAAAATATCTGAACTAGAAATTAGTCCACTCAATACCTTGCAAACAAAGAGCAACAGCAGTATGACACCAATAAGGCATTAATGACAAAATGGCTGTATTATTCTTGAAAAAAGAGTACACCTATGTATAAAAATATATGTCATAGCAATTGGGTAAATCCAACACTATTTAACACTGTGCCAAAAGTAATTAAGAGTTAAAAAGGCAGTTCTGCAAGAAGTATTTACAGTTTCATACTGCACTTCAAAAGAAAAGAAAAGGCAACAAAGCTACAAATGGAACTATCTGGTTGAAGCATCACTGTAGGTACTGCTAGTAGCACTTGTACAAGTAATGTGATGGAGTCTTGGATTGTTTGTCTGAATAAATGAATATAAATATTTCAATATCTAAAACTGTCTCAGTCTACATGTCTGCTCCTTGAAATAACTCATCCAGACCATCACTATTTGCAGTTTCCTGCTCCATGAGTTTAAAACCCAAAAGATTCAGTTTCAAGAAACACTGTGTTTGCAACAGTTCAATCAGAAATCACAGCTTTATTTCCAGCTTAGAAAAAAATCCACAAAAGAAATGAGAAATCCACCACCTACGAAATTCTGGAAATTGGAAGCCAAAGTGCCAACGAAGCTACACCGACAGCACGTAATAAAAACATCAGCATTGCCAATGCACCTTATAACTGCAGCTATAGGATAAGTCAAGTCGCTGTAGTAACGAAACACGAGATACAGCACGGCCAAGGCTACACAGCTCTGCCAGCCACAGGACTGGGGTGGCTGTTTGGGAGCAGCAGGCACGGACACAGCGGGGCCAGGGCAGAGCCCCGCAGCACGAGCAAAGCCTCACCTGCAGCAGCTGCTGCCTCAGAAGCACAAAGCTGCCAAAATCCTTAATTGCTCCCTCCTCGCTGGCTGGGAATGGCAGCCCAACAACTCCCACCCTGGCTGGGCAGATGGGGTGGCCAGGAATGGCAGAGGAGCAGGGCAAGGGTGGAAATGCCAAGAATAAAGCGCTGGCTCGGGATGGCACAAGAGACAGGGAAAACCCAAAGCTGGCACTATCCACACTGCCCTTCACAGAGCAGCCATCACCTTCCCCAGCCAGGAAGGCAGGAGCCCACAAGGTGAGAAGCAGTCCATGCTCTGATCCCTCAGGTGTACTGACTTCAAAAAAACAACAAGAAAAAGAGAGATGTGCTTAAATTTCTTCTAACAGTGCACTGTGAACTGCACAACCAAAATCTGTACAAGAGAAGCCTTCTCCAGTAGTAAAAAACCCACAACACACTGAGGAAATTATCATTGCTGATGTCAGGAGAAAGAAAATTACTTTAAAAACCTTATTTTTAAATTGAATTCAGGAAGTAAAATAAACTATAAATATACTCCAAGCAGTTTGTTGGGTAAAATAAAACACAGGAACAGCACTTTTAAGCTGAATTCATTATTCACTTTATGGAAAAATTTATAAAAATTTCAGAAGAACTGACATTTATCATGTCAAGCATCTTCTGTGGAGAGACACAAACTGCTCACCTACTGCTCCCTCCCTCATAAGCAGCCTCTTTCAAAACCCTGCAGAGTGAGCACCTCACTCACTGGTGCAGCATCCAGGCACCTCTTAGAGACACCAGTGAACTTTACTCTGAGGCAGCAGAACTTTCTTTGCCTCTCCAATTCCATGAGCAGTCATTCGTGTGAGCAGCATGAGGGGAAAGGGAGATGGCTCCAACAGAATAAACATCCATGTATTTAAAAGCAAAGTGCATAAGCACATGGCTTACTCACCTAAGATAGTATTTTCCTGATCTCAGGGGGAGAAGAGATAGGAAGATTTTTGTTTGTTCTCAGTGGGATTTGGTGAGGCAAGTGCACACCAGGAGATCTGAAGCCTCTCCAATACCTCATCTAGAGATATACAAAACTGTACTAAAAAAAGACTCCCTAACCCCACTTGCACATAGGGTAAGAGATTGGTCCCAGAATTAGAGAGAGGAACAGTAAGGAGGACTCTCCCTGGCTACTGAACACGACATGCTGACCTGGGAGAAGACTGGGACAGCAGAGTCAGATGGGCACAGCCCCATCTGTGCCAGCCCTGTCCCTGGGCCACGCTCACCTGAACCCTGCATGCCCAGAGCAGGCTGTGGGGCAGGGCCTGCCTGCTCCCCAGGATCTTATCCCAAAAATATGGACTGTGGTGATGTGCACCCTGTCCCCACTCAGAGACACCCCAGAATTCAAGAGTGGCTATGAGAAGGCAGAGCTTAATTCTGTGAAGTCTAAGAATTGCTGCACACACTGAGATCTTCTGGATGGGGGCTATGCCCTGGGGCTGCTCTTCCCAGGTCTGTGATGGCCCCTGGATGTCCAAAAGCTGAGGGGAGCTGCCTCCTCTTCCCCCTCTGCAGAGGCTCCCTACCAACACCCAACCTCAAGGGTTATGAACAACCTGCATGCAGGAACTTGGGGTTTTGTGAGTGATTCTTTCTCCAGAAGAAATGACCAGGATAAAATCCTTACAATCCAACCTCTGTAACTCATCATGCATATGAAATACTGAACAAAAAATATTCCTACCACATCTCTCATGAAGACATATGGCAGGTGACTCACCCAAGAGGAAGATGATTAACTTACCTCTGTGGAAAAAAGCACACAGCATTCAGAGCAGTCAAGAGTCCTCAACAAACTTGGTATGCTGAAAATCCCATATTTAACAGAACAGGGTTAGCAGAGTTTAACAGAAGCATTTGCTTGGGAATCCAAGCAAAAATTCAAGTTATCACTGTATATGCAGTGGACAGTAGTCCAATCAATATCTATAACAAACTCATCCTAAAAAAATTATACACTACAAAACCATCTCACTGCTTGCAGCAAATGAGCTTGAATGATTTCCTAGTAACAGGCCACCACCTTCCACTGTTAAAATGTGAGGTTTCACAGTATAAAAAAGTACTTCACAGAAAGGAAATGCAGCTAATATAGAAAATGCAATCTCGATGTGTTTACAGTCATTTTTAAGAGGCAATATTTTTGGGAAAGCAAGAACAATAATAATTAAAGCAGCCAGTGAGAAATGTACAAGGTTATAGGCCTCAATTCAGTGCAAAACCAGACTAATAGCTTATGTAAGTAAATGTTTGTTCTGAATAGAGAACCACCTGAATTAAAAGTAAGAACACCTATGTGAAGTGATGGAGACTCCCACAATATTCAAATCCTTCACATACATCATCAACCTTTTCAGTACACTCCAGAATGGACCCTTTGTAAAGGCAAAAGAAACCAGTACAGGATATCACTTCATACAGCACAAGATATACATAAAGTACCAAAATGTACACACATTCAAGTTTAAGTTAGAAAAGGCAGAGATGAATCTTCTGGTGAAAGAGGCCTACATTATGTTGCTTAATCTCAACATTTAAAGTGACCTAAAACCTACAAGAATCAAAGAAAACAGAATATTGTGTCTGCTTTCAGAAACTTAAGCTTAAAGCAAGGCATCAAAATTGAGCAGTAGGCACTGTAACAAGACATGACCTTACCTTTTCTCTGTTAGTCTTTGTTACTTTGTTATCTATTGAAAAATTATCATTCAAAGGAAATATTATGCATCATTCACATTCAAATATTTGAGACTCAGAGATTTTTTTTTTAAAAACAAGCAAAATCTTTATCTCTGAGGTAGATGACAATAAAATAATAAAAAAAAATGGAGCTGTCAATGAACACTAACAAGTGCTGGAGCTCCTCTGTTGGCACTGATGCACCCCAAGGAGGAGAGAGCAAGCCCTACACCACTATCTGAAACATGAGAAACGTGTCTTCTGGTTTAGTAGCTTCTACAGAAATGCAACACAGAAAAAGCAGCGCCAAAATTACACTGAAATGGCCTTGGAGAAGAAGAACTTCCATTTCTGCTTCGCAAGCTACTCGGAAAATGGTGGAAACATGCCCAGGTCAGCAAAATCTTCAATGTTGTAATTGCCAGTACCCTGTGTTGGATCCCCAGGCATCGGCAGCATGTCCTGCATGGTAAGGAAAAACCAAAGTGAAATCTCACTTGCCAACACATTATCCAGACATAAACTGTTTCCTGATCATTTTTTCAGTGTAAAACCAGAAAAGGCCAAGTTTAGATAAATAAGGTGAAAACCAGACCTGTGCAGAGGGTTGGGCTAAGGTTTACATGCTACTTATGTTTTGCTGGAATGTTTCTGAACAAGAAATAGGACTTAAGCAGGGCAGTTTTGGACTGTTCTTCTGAAATAAAACACATCTGAGCTGCCTCCTACTCCTCCCAGACTGAAACAGATCCCCTTGGAATGGGAGCTACATATGGAGAGAAGCAAACACTGGTTTCTGCATGGGGAGTGTACAACATCTCTCACACTGGAACTCCAGCGGTGTCAGGATGGGTTTGGGCAAGGTCTCACTTCCTCTCCAGCGCTCTCTAGCTGAACACTGCTCTGTGCAACACTCAAGACTGGACATCACCCCAACTAACAAGGTACCTAAGCACCTTCATGGATGTACAGAAGCAGAGGAAATAGCAGGAATTTCTCAGGAGAAATGGGCTTTCGTGGTAATTGCTCTCACGTGTGTTGAGCCAAGTGAGGTCTCTGCAGGAGGCTTCAAAAAACACTCAACCTTTCCTCTCAGCTGGAGACTGAAGCCACAGGGAGAAGATATCCCTTGCTGGGAAAACCAGAGTTTACACTTGCTTTTCCTGTCAGTCTTTACAATAACAAGCTCTTACCACAAAGCCAAGTTTTGCCAGGGATGGCTCACTGTCCTCACAACAAAACAAAACCAAAAAACAAGTAAGAAAGTTCACAGGATTTGCTCTGTGAAAGAACTGAGAGCTGCTGCGTACTGGAAAGTTCCTCCAAAATAAATACTGATTAAAATCTATCCAAAATCTTCACAGCATCCTTGTCCATGTAGTGAGAGAGACTGTGAACACAACTGGCAGTGTCTGAGCTGCCAGGGTCAGCCTTAATTTTCTGACCAAAACTTGGACTTATTTGATGTTTTCCCACATTCTCTTCCAGCCAAAGGGAAGCTGCAGCTGCTCCCTCCTGTCTACATTTCCATTTCTGCTGCTGGGGCCTCTGTGGCAAAGTCTCCTCAGGCACAGATCCAGCAAGGTCTCCTCTTGAGTCTGCCTCTCTCCTTAAGCCCAGCTAACCCAGGGCTGACTTTGGGCACAATCCAAGCAACTTCTTGGAGGCCTTTAAACTCATCCAAGTTTTTTATCCCATCCAGCTATTATCCTAATTCACCTCCAAGAGCTCTACAGAGGAGCCCAGCTCTCCTTTTATCCCACGGTCTTCCTTTCCACTAACTTCATGAGAAGTTTGTTAAGAAAGAAGCAAGACACTGCTTGGACTCCCTTGTCTCTGCTGGTCATCAAACCATGCTGTCAGCAGCTCCACTGGAATTACCCTGGATATCCTCTTGGACAGCCACTGACCTTTGCTAACACAAAGAGATGCAACAGACCAATCTTGCCTGGGCTGTGGGCTAAGAGCACACAAACAGGCAGTTATTCCAGATGAAGTGCTGTTGTTTGATCTTGTGTGAAAGCAATGGTTCACCCACACAGGAATACTCCCATGCTCTCAGCTCTTCTGCAGCATTCTTGCACACGAGTCCAATCTTGCAGGTGAATTTACTTTCCAAAAGACAAGGAGGCGCCCCACTTCTAAACCTTGCTTGGGGCTTGAACTGTCTTGCATTTATCTGCATTGTTTTCTTGTAAACTGTCTTCTTCATCTCATTTAAAAACCAGTTATACAAGGACAGATATGTTATTAATCAACTTATGAAGTCCTACTCTATAGTAGGATTTTGCTATCTGTAGTCAAGACTCAGATAGTTAATTAGGTAGTTGAAGATGATTGTTTACCATCTATCTGATACCTGACTGGGCTTAACCTTAAAAAATTATTGTCCACTATCTTCTGTGCAGTATCAGACTCCTTTCCTGGTTGAACTGTCAAAGAGAGTGACATTGGTATCTAAAGGAACTTGAGATGTCAGAGGCCAGCACCAGGATAAGAAAGACACTCCACTTGGGAAGACTTCATGGGCTCTCTGCAAAAGATGAAAGCCCTCAAAGTATAGGGTGCACAGAGAAGAGGAAACAGCGTTCTGTGTCAGCAAAGATGCTGCTGTGTGGCAGAAACCCAAAGCACCTCAGTAGCTAAGGGCAGTGCAGGCTGTGGCAGCACGCAGCAGCAGGGAAGGGCTGCAGGCCCTGCTGTACCTGATCCTCAGGGGCCACAGCTCTAACTCCGAACTGAGGGAGATCAGAGGGACTCTGGGCTCACCTGGAACACCTCGGTCTGGTTGGGCTGCGGGTGCGAGTGCTGGTCGCCGCTCTGCTGGTTGTGGTGCTGGCTCTGCCACTGCGACCACACCTCGGACGGCCTGCCCTGGAACTGCCCGCCGCTCTGGCCACCTTCAGCTGCGCGGGGAAGAAAAGGCACAAGTCAGAGAGCAGCTCCTCCAAAACATCTGCCCGCTTTGGGGAGGCATCCATCAGTGCCTGGATTTGCAAAGGAGCCTTGGAGAAAGGCCCTGGGTGACACCAGCCCTGGGAGGAGGAAGCTGGAGGGAGTTTCAGCCCCAGAGCAAAGCTCAGGCCCATGGCTGCACAGCCATGAACTGCCCAGAGCAAAATGGACAGTGACACAGTGAGCCAGGCACTGGAAGACAACCTGTCAAGCATGCCCACCATCATTTTTTCATCATAATAAGGGCTATTTTTCATTTCACTTAAAAACCAAACTTCGCCATCTGAATGCTGTTTCTCTTCAAAACACTGAATTCTTGTGGAGCAGTGGGTGCAAAGTTTGGTACTCATCTAAGAAGCATGTAGGGAAATCCAGGATTTTTTAAGCAGATGTAGAAACAGTATGATAAACAGACAGCAGCCTTGCTGATTAAATACAGGTATTGCTGGACTGTCCTGTCCTTCAGTGATACACCGGCAAATCGATTTATTTAATATGCAGTTTATAGCAAATTATTATCCTGTCAATATGGTGATACTTTCCTAAAAGTCTCAGGCCATTTACATTTGACAGAGTAACACAAACAGCAAAGCTTTATTGTAAATACACTTCAAATGATTATTTCAAGGAGATTAATTTCTTCTAAATAGTCTACCAGAAAAAAAGCATGTTGCCACACATTAATTTGGTTACCTATTGCACATACATTTTTTATGAGTACAGCAATTGATAACACTTAAGCTGGGCTCATTTTACCCTGCATTTCTACAGACTGCCACTGAACTATAATATTTACGGCTAATTTCCCATTCATTAGTTACAGTATCTCCTTCTAAGAACCAGCATTTTAAAAAGCTTGCCACCAGGCTTATGCTTTTCCTCCAAACATTTCTTCCTCTTTTTTCTTGTTAATGTTTTTCTCTCTAACTGCCTGTTTCCCTCTCACAGCAGAGGAACAAGCTGTGCATGTCTGGTTCTTCCTGATCACCAGCATCCTCTGCCAAGGGTGCCAAATTTCCTGTGCCAAACCTCCACACCTGTGCTATGCCAAGTCTTTGATAGCTAGACTCAGTCACGTCAAATCAGCCACTACTCACAGTCATGACTTCAGAAAATACAGACACACGTATTTAACCCAATCCCTCTGGCCATCAGCTAAGCCATGCAAAACAGATAAAGGGAAGGTTTTACAGGAAAGTAAACAGGCTGCAGTGATGCATTTCTATCACATCCAAAGTAGATGATTACAGTTCTTCCCTCACTGACATTACCACAACCAGTAATTCAGCTGACTCAAAAACCCTGCAGACATTTTAAGAGCCAAAACAAAATTCATCTAAGCTACCCTTTAAAAGCAAGCTGCAAGTTTGTTTTATTTCCCCTCAGAACAACACACTGAAATTAAATGAGTGAAGCAAACGATGCTGCTTTTCAGCAGAACAGCTCCTGCCAGCCGGCGGTCGAGGCCGTCTCCGTGAAGGCTGGGTTATTAATAGCACCCAAACTGATGTAGGTCAGGAGATGTTTCTCATTAAGTGAAAGGGTTCTTGCCAAGTAGCTTAAGCCTGAAATACAAAGCTGTCTCATAAACAAATGTACAATGCCTGGTGGAAATGGAAATGGAGGGAGGAATAAGCTGTGTGGGAAGAGCTCCATGTCAATGCCCTTTCTCTAGGCACAGGTCTGTGCCAGGTCTGTTCCCCAGGGACAGGAGCAAACAACATTCATCAGCACACTGCCACCCGTGCCTTTTGGGATTGCAATTTATTGTCACCCAGTGACATTTTTCATGGAATCCATTATACATTTTACTCTTGACTATTATTCTGGTGGCAGACAAAAATCCTACCAAGGGGTTACCTACCGGTCTGAAAGCCACCAAATTAGCATGTAATAGGAAAAGAAAAACATTTCAAAACATGGTACCTACTCTGATTAGGTTGGTACCACTGGCGGTACAAAATAAATCCTGTTTTCAGCCAAACTTCAATGTGCAATCTCAGTGCAAGAGGATACCACCATGAAGAAGATAAAAAATGAAAAAAAAAAAGGCAAATGGAACCACTTGACCAAAATTTGGGAGTATGGTTACCAGTCCCATAAGCAAATTTTTAATCTTTCAGGATACCATTTACTGGGAAAAAATAAAAAAGCTCCCTCATATCATAAAATGACTATATACTGAAGTGTGTTGGATGTGGAGGAGATGGAGCATAGAGAAAACAGGTCAGTTCTGTCCTCTCTACTCAGCAGCAGAAAGCAAAACCCTTTCACCAGCTGGGCTTTCCAACTGACCCACCAAAAGAACAATAAAAAACAATTTTTAATGAATAAATATTGGAAGATTTTTAATGAAGTTAATGCTGGAGTTTCATTTCTATGTGCATTTCTGTGCTACACCATTTAAAACTCACCAAAGCCAGCACTTCGGTTTGCTAAGCTGGAGTAGGCATTCCCACTTGGAGAAGAGGTGGCTGGGCTGGACAGGGGGCTGTAAGATGATGGGTCAGCTGGGTAGGTGTGACTTGTTCCAATGCCAAAGGGAGACGACTGAGCCTTGCCAGACTGAGATGGAATTTGCTGAGGAGTAAATGTTAAAGAAGGAAGAAGTTTTATTGTCAGGGAACAGCATAGCAAAATCACTTTTTACAACATAAAGCAAAGACTAAATAAACTCTGTGGATGCCAACAGGCACACTTCTCCTGTCTCAGCTGTATTTCATTTCTGTCCAAGCCAGCTTACTGCTGCAGAAGGAGTGAGTACAACAGGCTATAAACAAACACCGCCAGCTCGCCTGCTGTACTAATCAGGTACTCTGTATCAGAGCTATTTGGAAAACCAGGATTTCTTTTACCACTATTATGAGGATTAATCTCAAACTCAACAGGTATGAAGAATTCATCTGTATTTTCCAGGTGTATTGATTTTGCAGTGCCACAGTGAAATCAGTTATCTGGATGTCTTGCAGGTCTCAGATGACCAGAGTCTCAGATCCCAACAGGCATATAACATGTGAAAGATACTATTAAGTCTTCAGTTCAGTTCCAAAGTAAGAAACTGTACATTTCTGAAGCTTTCCACAATGGCAGTGGGAGCTCGGCATGTCGCTTTTGCAAGGCTTAGCTCCATTTTACTTTGTTTAAGATGGAAGAATTAATTCCAATTTCCTTACACTCACATCCAAACTCAGTTGACTTGGACAGAATTTGTGCAGTAAGAGGGATGAGTAATTTGTTTTAGTAATTTTCAGCACCTTCCATATCACTTGAAGAAATGAGTTAATGTTGCAACTGGATTTCATTAACCAGGTGTGACAGAGAAGCACGACTCTCTGAGGGCTGGGAATAATCACTGATTAATGTAGAAAAAATTCACTTATTGGAAATTTATTTAGTGACCACCCCAACATGCCATTCCAGCCTGCCAAACAATGAGAACTCAGGAGGGATTAAGAGCAGCATTATTAAGATCAAACTTACTTCATATTATTTGTCTTTTAATAGGGTTTTGAACCATTTTTTACCTGTTACACAGAACAAGAGGTGATTTCTGGGCTAACACTGACAAGCACAGTGCATCTGATGGAGGTATGTGCTGTTTCCTCCAGCACACAGCAGTGTGAGCCACCCTGGGCAGTGCTAATGGAGGGGTGTGGGAGTCCAGGGCATCCCTCTGGCTGCCCTGGAAGGTCTGGGACCCTGGCAGGGGTCAGGAACCCCCCTGGACAGAGCCCCCAGAGACACTGTCTGTGATCTCTGTCCATGGAAAAGAGTTTTCAATCTTACAGGATGAATTACCAGCTCTGAGTGTTTGATATAAGTAATAATTAAGTGTGGCACGGATACAAAAGTAAAATTTTAGGATTCTAGATTAGGGGTCCAAAGGGGACAAGATGGAGGAAATTGGGTGTGTCTTGTCCTTTTTCTCCTCCTTCATGCCCTCCATGTTTCACTGCAGTGTTGGCATTTTTCTGTTGGTTTAGGCTGGGGACACACTGTTCAACGTAGGTGACAGATATTGGCACGTTACTGTAAATCCAGCACAGGTAGTTTCTGGTATTTAATGTTTGTACCATCCCACTGAGGGCAGAGCCCCACACGCTGCCCTGCAGGACAGAGCTGCGGCAGGGCAGCAGAACATGTTAGAGATAAACACAATAAACAACCTTGAAACCAGCACAGACGAATTATGGCTTCTGCTTTGGCAGCGGGGCAGAAAGACCGAGACTTTCTACAATCTTGGAATCATCAATACCACAGATTTTGACAGAGGGGCACCAGGCTGAGCAGCCTCTGCTCTCAACCCGTGCCTAGATTTGCACATACCCCTTCTTCCCACCCTGGTAACAGTGGGTAACACTGCTGGGTGCAAGGTCCTGGCCCAAGAGAGATTTAATTCACAGGATTAATACTAAAGCAGAAGATCTGTAGTTCTTTCACTACACATAAAACAAATGCAGGACAAGACCTTCCAGTGGGGTTTGGGTCATGCAGCCACTGCCACCTCACTGACCAGCACCCCAAACCAAGAGCAGCTACACACGGGGCAGCTGCTCACACTGCCCCACCTCCACCCCAACCACAAATTAATTACCCTGAAAACATAAATGGGTTTACTAACCCTTCTGTAAAATGCACAGAGAGTGAAAACCTTTAATGCCCAGGAAGATAAAGCACTTGGAATCAATACCTGTCCTGGAAATGGAGGGCGATTTCCTGTCCAGGCCACCTGGCTCTGGTTGAGCTGCCGGGATATCTGTGTCAGGTTCTGGCCCGTTGAGGAGGAAGACTGGATGTCGTTGACACCAGGCACGTGCACCACAGATGAACTAAGGGTTCAGAACAGACACAGAGCCTCATTTGTAGGGCCTATTCCCAATGCAGAAATTGTATCCTAGATAAAGAAATACTGACAATACATTAAAGCTAATTATTCAATCTGTCTTGATAAAAGAGATGACTGAAAACCATCACAAAACTACAAAACATACTGGCATTCTAAATGTCAGTCCTAATAGACACAGCAGGCAAAATTATTTTGAATTAGACTTCAGTAATCTCTTGGAAAGGGCTTCTAAGAATAAATACAGTCCCACACATGGTGCATACACACTTAGCTCCACACAAGTTTAACATTTAATGCATAAAAAATCCGGCTTGCAGAGAGCACTGCAGGTACTTCATCACAAATTTGTGCTTAAAGTCAACAGTGTTTAAGCATTTGCTTAAATACCATTCTAAATGAAGATGGGCACAAAAGATGATACTTATAAGCACTTCCTTATTTGTTTCTTGCCTGGGAAATGAAGAATTATGTGCTACATATTAAAAAAAAGGGCTTTTAATTCCTTTTTTCACCAACTGATGCTAAAGAAGAACAGACAATTATATACCCAGGCAAAAGAATCATCAAGACAGGAAGTTAAACTCATGTAGTAACTTTGGAACACTAATAATAATAATAATAATAAATATTTTTAAGGAATTTTTTTGTATATTAGCTCTTTCCTACTTACTTAATTTCACTACAGAGACATACCCAGAAATCCCTGATTATAAGAAAAATTTTATGAAGGAACTGCTCCACTTCACCATTTTATTCTCATGGAAGTCTTGAGCAATGAAATCTAGGCAACTACACATTGTGGCTGTACTTTTATATGTAAAGCCATATTTTTTACATGTCACAGATAAATGAATAGAAATGAAGACAGCACACAAAACCACTTCTGTGGATCCACTGAAACAGCTTGTTCTTTTCTCCAATCCCATCTCTATTGTTTATTTGCACAATCTTACAGAGAGAGAAGAACGCAGATTGGGAAAAGAAGTAAACAAGGCTGAGCAGAGAGAAAAGCAGGAATCTGAATCCTTGGAAAAGGCTGACAGAATCCCTCCCAGAGTGTAAGCAAAACGTGCTAGGCATTTGAATATGTGAGTTCTTATTCTGGATTTCTTACTGCCTAAAAGCAAAGTGGATGTTTAGAAATTCTTTGTAGAGTTTTTTAATTTTTTTAAAAAATCTGTTTTATTTTTATTTTATACTATCACAGAGTCTCCAAAGAGGGAAATGTAGACCGAAAAGTCCATCTAAATCTGGCTGGAGTACACAGCAGCTGCTGGGGAGGGCTGGCCCTACTGCCAACACCTTCTCAACTGGACTGGCACCATCACCTAAAGAGCTTGGACTGTATCTGGAACTGTACTTTGAAAGCAGATTTCCGCACAACAGTGCCTAGAGGCTGCCCAGGCTCAGTGACTGAATGGGCCAGGCCACGGATTATACAGAGGACAGTGCACTGAGGGTGAAAGTGCTGGCAGAAATGCAAGCTATTACTTGATGTAACAGAATAGCAGTAGGAAAAAAACCTACAGCTAAACATCAGGAATTAGCAAAGGAAATGAACAGAACACAATCCAAACCCCCAGATGGCAAGTCAGTCACCCAGTAATACACAATATCCAATTAAAAGACATTTTAATTTACTCTCATATCTCCCCAAGTTATACTTGGCTTTAATTTGACAAAACACACTCTCATGGATCTTATTTCTCTTCACTGAGATTATTAGCAATTATGACTTTAAGAGAACATTGGTTAAAATAAAATCAGTGTTTGCCAATGTTTCCTATTTTGAGGAACTGGCAAGTTCTGGGTGGCTGTTCCTTCACTTTCACAGCCTTGGCTGGTCTGAACCGGAGAATGAAACTCCAGTAAGACAGTGCTGATATCACAAGGCACTAAGATCAACACGATTGCTGTTACCACACTCTTCAAAAGCAACTGGAACCTGTATGCCAGCTGGTAGGCAATGACATACACTTAGAAGAACTCAAAAATGCCTTTGAACATGCCAGACCACCACCTTACATGTATTTGGAAGCTGCCTTAGAAGAGTATTCATGCCCCTGTCCCAGTCCTCACCTGGGACTATGGATGCAGCATCCCTCTGCTCCCTTTGATACCCACATCAAAGCCCTTCAAGGCAGCCTTCAGCAGGAGCAGTGACACCTCTAAGTGCAAAACAAATCTTTGCACCCTCCGAGCTTGGTTGAATTTTCCTCAGATCTCTGACCTCTAATCTCAGAGTTACTTCCCTTCAGAATTTGTTGTTGCTCCTTAGTTTTTTTCCCAATTACAATATCACAGCAAAAAGTACCTACTTACCAGCCAAAATTTTTAAGAGAGATACCCAAATAATCTCAGCTTGTAAACCCAGCCTAAGTGCTGAAACATAGCCAGCAGTAAATAGTAGACACAGTAAAATTCATTCATGTAAAGAAAGCTCTTGTACCTTGGGTTGGTTTTGTTTCCACAGTACTGCAGGGGGACACTTACCCCCTCTCAGACAGGAACTGACACATTCAGGATCTGCACTAAATACCTGAAAGTCTTTCCCGAGTGTCCTGGCTGAAATGGGCTTCCCTGGGAGTAAAGCTGCTGGTTCCCTGCTGTGGATGCAGAGGCCATCATTTTTTTATCTGCTACAAGAGAAAAACAAACCACAGAAAAAGAATTAATTTAGGGGGTGAGATAATGAAGGAAAAAATATTTAAAGACAATTGCAATGTATGTTTTCTTCCCTTCTTCAGGCTTCATGAAGAAGCCCTGTGGAACACATTAGGAACAACACAAAGTGACAATTTAGTGTGAAAGCAGAGGCACGGTTGGTTTGTGTCACCTCTGTGCTCTCCTCACAGGCTGTCGCTGTTTGCATGGCTCAGACCTGGGAGCTGTTCCTGACTGCACAGAGCTCTGGCCCAGGTGGGGAGTGAGGGGTGCCCCAGGCACAGGCTGGAGAGGGGAACAAAGCTGCTCTGGAAGAAAGGTGTGAGGGGGATGGAGGCATGGCACAGGAAACCAGCCTGGTCTGAAGAGGGTGTGATGCACGAGCACCTCTGTGGCTCAGGTGAGGGCACATTTCTGCCACCAGGAAAAGCCCTCCAGCCCCTCTGCTGTTAGCACAGACTGTCTGCACAGAGGTGGCAGCTGAGAACCCACAGAAGGGTGTCCAAGAGCTCTCTCCTAAGCAGCTGACAATCTGCTTCCCGGGACAGCCCAAGGAGCACCCACCTCCCTGACAGCCTGGTGGCACTGCCTGCTTGTGTCAGGGTGACAACCTGCAGCCCCATCTGCATCCCAGGTGGCTGGAGGCACTTTGCTTCTGCGTGCCACCAGACCTGCACACCTGAGCTGTGGCAAGGCAAAACACAGGTCTGTTGTGGAATTTGCTGTCCTCATGTGGCTTGGGGGAGCCATGAAATAGGATGGAAGCACCCCAGAGGGGTGGAAGACAAATGAGTGTAGTGAATAAATTGCACAAAGAGATGCCATTAACTTTTATAGTCTACCCTTAACGTGGCAAGTGGAGATCAATCTCTAATCGAATGAAACGAGATTGGGTGAACAGCACCATTTGGTCCCTTAATTTAATTTTCTGGTACTGGATTATTCCAAAGCTCAGAGAAATCTCACTACTACTTCTCTTAAAATAATTCACAGGTCTGCTATGCCACCCTTTATTCACCTTCTCCATCTTCCCTCAAAGTGCAAAACACCCTGCAACTCACTGATGGTTTTGCACCCATGTACCTGACAGGCCTAAAAATCAAGTCTACCCCCTCATTTTCCCCTTTGCTCTTTTCAGATTCCCACTCATTTCACAAGATGCTCTCTCGGACAAAAGGCCCACTCAACTCACAAGTAACAGAAGTATTTTTTAGGTGTTTAATTTTTTTTTTCGCTTTCCCTAGCTTTTAGAGACCTCCTGAGTGTGACTCACCAAAGGCCTCCAACACACACCAGCTCTTCTCTGTTACCTAAGTTGTTCTTACATTATGTTCCTAACAAGAACCTAAGCTTGCCTCTCAAAAGAAAAATATCACCTCAAATTCCCTCGCAGGAGCCTTGGAGTGTGGAAGCCACTGATGGAAGCTGGCATTGCTTGTCTCTGTAATGCAGAAATTTGTAGAAATTCCTCCCTGGTTACCGTCTGCCCTGCACAGAAACCAAGGCTGGGCTGCAAAACTACGCTCTCATATTTTAAAAAATACAACAGGGAGAAATGGGGACAAGGTGTAGAGAAGGTTGTGCATATAGCAGGAAGAATTGAGAATGGATGGGCACATCTCTGAGAAGAAGGACTGATGAATTTGTCCTTTTCTGCAGTAATGTCACTCTTGCACGAGATGTCCCATTTTCTAAGGCCACCCTTTGCAGGGAAACCAAACTCTCAGGGCTGGAAGAGACTGAGCCAAAATCCTGCGGGTGCTTTAGATATTTGAGAACAACTCACCAGAAAAATTGAGAGTGCCCCAAATGAACTGGAATTCCTCAAGTGGAGCAGAGTTGCCATGGCAGCTACCAGGGTCTGTGCCACAGGATGAGGCCAAGATAAAGGGAACAGCCAAACTAATAGCAAGCAGCTAATTTTCCTTCCTGAGTTACCCTGAATGCTCTTTAGCCTCTGAATCTGGCCCACGTCTCTCCCAGCTGTATTCCTACCCAGGATTTTTCATACAATTCGCTGCTCTCACCTTTGGTACAGCAGTGATTTTTGTTTGTTTGTTTGGGTTTGGTTTTTTATGTGTGTGAATTTTGCCTGTTCCTCTCTAAACTCCACTGGTCAATGATGTCCCTTCCCCCAGCAGGACCAGTATCTCCAACATTTCTGCCTCTTAACTGAATCCCTCTCAAAGAACTACATCATCCCATGCTTCAAATCACTTGCATGAATTGATGAAGTCAGGCTTCCTCTCCCAGCTTTTGGGGTTTTAATGCAGTGTGGCCACTACATGCAATTATAGCAGCACTCTCCCTGTGTCAGCCCATGTTCTTACAGAACGAGGTCGGGTATCAACATAAGGCCAACGTCTGGCAGGCAGCACGCAGGCTTGTCAATATTGGTTTTGGACAGGGTACCTCATCCCTAACTGGGAACCATCCTTTATCATTCAGAGGAGACCTTGATCACAGCTCCCATGAGAAATTCAGAAAGGGAGAATGTCCCAAAAAAAGCACAGTCTGTAAATTGATAAGAATGAAAAGAGAAATGGCATTTTCAAGAACATAACCTCCCAGCTACCTCACAGCTTGTGACACCCTTAACCCTAACCCCTCCCCACAAACAGCTGAGAGCTGCCTGAAAAAGAGCCAGCAAGGCAGCCAAAAAGCAAGATGTTCTTGCTTGGAAAAACATATTCTGGTGTTTAGGGTTGGAATCTTGCTACCTTCTAATGGACCCCTTTTATGGCCTCAGCTGTTGACTCTACTGTTCAAGTAAACAGAGAAGGATGAACAGGAATAGCAGAGAAGTCCTAGCAACAGGAGGACAAAGTCAAGCATATATTGCAGTTACAATGTCTTCTGCAATTGAAAAAGCCAATCCAGACATAAGAAACCAACAGCGAGGTCACCCTCCAACACCCCTGCAGTCAAACCCTGTGGGTCATTTCCTCCCTGCACTGCATGACACTTGCACATTGATTTATTTAAAACAAATGTAAAAATTCCTCTTTTTCAGTGAGGACAGTTAAGAACAATAAACAATCAATGAGTTCTTCCCCAAGCCATGGCATTGGCTGGTTTCCTACAGATATATTTCAGATGACTGCCAGTCTTAGTGGTTTCTGTTAGAGCAACAAGCAGCACAGGCTGGGGCTACTTTGAGGCAGATCCATCTGTCTGACTGACAAATTAACTGGCTCCTACCTATTACAGCAGGGCTGGGAAGTACTTTGATGAGGGCACCAGTTAGGACTCTGTCCTCACAGCAATTTCCAAAGAATATAGAACAACATATTGTTTCTGAGATGCCTATCACCCTTAGAAGAATTTGCTAAATATTTTAAAGGTTGTGGGAAGAAGAGTAAGGACTTCTCACACCCAGGTAACATGACTGGAGATGCCTCAACTGACCAGAGAACAAGTAAACTGCTGGCAGCATATGACTCTGAAAACATTGATATAGAAGCTGTTGACTTGATAAAAAACTGCAGCCTATCTTAAGACTATATGGTAACTTTTTCATCTCTTTTTAGAGAAATATGTCCCTACTTAGAGAAATGAATTTACTTATGCTGTTTAGGAAAGAAAATATACACTTAGAAATGAAATGCTCTGCTCAGTATATTTAGTATCTAGGAGCACTGCCTAAGGTGTGCATGTGAAATGAAAAGAGAATCAAAACCAGGCAGCTCTGGTGACACAAAAGCCATCCCTTCCCTCTTTGAATTTACTCAATCATCTTTAGGGAAAACACCAACTAATGACAAATGCTAGGAAATGTCCCAAAGACTGATGCTGCTTAGAAAACTCTCTGCCATGCAGCAGTTTCTCTTCATTCTCTTGAAGCTGTGCTCTGCATCATGTAACCAGGCTCGACACAGTATTATGAATTAAACATCAGGGACATTCACTTACAAGCAGTTATTCCAGCAAACATCTCAGCAAATCTAGGATCTCTCTCTTGGGAGAAGATAGCATCAGGCTTTTCCACAGACTTTCCACCCTCATGAACATTAGCTGGTATACTTGGAACAGGCACCTGTTGAGATACAGAGAGGAAGGTCGTTCCCTCTACTGTATTTGACGAAAAGGAATTCAGGGACAGTCACAACATACTTTTAGTTTTGCTGAAATCTGCTGTTGTTTTACATCTTAAATGATCAGAGGCACAAAAAGAAAAATCTGAGAAATTTCACCTGAGATAAGTCATAGGATGACAGCCCATCTCTTTGATGTACTTCGAGTTCTGCTTGCTGTTGCTGAAGTTGCCTGCAAGGGAGACAAAATTACTTTCTTACAAATACCAATTAAGATACAAAAAGGAATAGTCATGGTCTCCTATTTTACACTCCCAGTGAAACATGTCTCAGATGATTTACTAAATCCTTTCCTGTGAGATCCATCTGTTTTTACAGCTTTCTCATTGAGAAAACCTGCACCACAGGAATGCAACAGGGCACAGGAAGAATTTTGCTGTGACAGCACTGAAATGTAGGGGGATAAATAACAGAGGATGGAACACAATCTCCTCCTAAAGGTTTTAAAAATTCACTATTCTTAATTCATTGTCTTCCTCATGTTAATGATGAACAGACCAGACCCCCACTTTGATTTTGCTGAAGGAAACAGTAAGCTTGCTTTCCAGGAAAACGCCAAATGACAGAACACCTCAGCAGCTGGGAAGTTATCCAGATGTTTTGCACCTCTGATTAACAGCTGCTTTCTATTGCTTGGTCACAATAAGCAAAAAAGCTTCTGGCCTGGAGATGCACAGGTAGAACTCTCATCTTTGTGAGGCTCCTGGCTCAGTTAGCAAACAAGATATGAACCCCACAATTATACTAGACCTCAGAGATTAGGACTTAAACTGACAAAATACTTGGATTTGGTATTTGTAAATGATCCTTGACAGTGCTCACAGTTTGTGTATGTTTCTGGCTTCTTTCTGAAAGAAAAATCACCCAAAAAATGGTAATTACACACCATGTTTGTCTTTCCCCAGAAAGATGATACTTGGACAGGCAGAAATAGATGAGATTTTGCAAAACAGCAAAATCATGGATTTGAAATTCTGGAAAATTACAATGTATTTCTAGCCACAGGCTTAAATTTCAGATTTTCATTTTAGATTTTCAAATCCTCTTTTAAATTTTGAAATAGATTCAAATTCCAAGGGACTGAGAGACAAACTTGCAGGCAAAGTCAAATGACAAATTAGACACAAACTGTTGGAAACATGAGGAATCACTCAAACAAGCTACTGAAGTAAGTAACACATTTTGCTGTCCCTTGAAGCTTTCCCAGGAGACACTTTGATGCGTTTTTATGCTCCATGGCAAAAATCTGTGTCCTGCAACCAACAGCAGGTCAGAGTAAGTGGCCAAAAATCTTCTGCAAGCCTTAAAGAGTGAGAACACATAATACAGGGAATAACTTTTGTTCTAGTAGTAACAAGCAGAAAAAGGCAGTCCTCCAAACTATTAGAGAGCCACGGATTTTCCCTATTATTTTAGCAAACAGAAAATTCCTAAAAATTACCTCTGGAATGCAAAGACATTCTTTGTTCACAAGCATAAAATGCAAACTTTTCCAACAGAACTATGGGAGGCAATTTAATCGTGGGGAATCTATGGGGAAGTTTCTAAATACCACCCCATGGACAATAAACACCCATTAAATCCCGTTGTTAATGTGAAAGCTAATTACACTGTTCCATTTGTTTTTATTACCACCGACTTGGGGCGTGTGTCAATAAACAGCACATTAGGCTCTCCTCTGTTCCTTATAAAGAATGTTTTCTTGATTCAGCCATATACATACAAATGAGCCAAACCAAACAGCACACTCACTCGTTATTTGTTTTGTAGGCACTTCTCTAACTTAGTGCTCCTTTGCCCCTCTCTATCTTTCATCTCTAATTCTCATTAAGCTGCACTACAATATAAACACCACATTGTGCTAACAGCACTGAACTTTGGGAACAACCTCCCAAAATCCATTTCCTATAAAAACCAAATAGTTGTGTGTATCTTTACTGAACCCTGTGCAAGCTATACTGCACTTAATTAAGGTTGAAATGCAAAGCCAGGGTAGCATCTTCTGTTGTAGTTGGCTGCTATTGCGTAAATAGTTTAAATGGTGCTTGAAACCTGAAGGAAAATGTGCAGCAATTCATGGAGCAGCCGACCAGGGAGAGCTCAGAGCTGCTGCTGTGGCTGCTTCAGACCCTGCCATCTCACCAGCCCTTCTGACAGCCAACACAGTCCCCAACTTTGGACAGTAAAAATTAAACAGAACAACAGATTAGCATCAATTTGGGGCAAAACTCGAAGTTGCCCTCTAACTTTGAACCAAAAAAAATCATCCTTGGTTTCACTTTCAGTTTCAGGGGTTCAAGCAGTAAATGAACAATTTCTTGGCTCTACAGTTTACCCAACACAGCAAGTGAGGCACTGCCTGGGTCAACAGCAGATTCTATCTGTACTGACCCACAGGTTCAGCATGAAACTGGGGAAGCCCTTGGCTTGGACAAGAATGGTTCAGCAAATCTGAAGGCTTTGACAGTTACTTCAAATTTACTTCAGTAAATACACATGGAGGAAAAAGGAAGACACTGTGGAAGTTCTTCTGACATTTGAGATGATGTTAAGCTCTCTCTATGAAAACTGAAGTCACTGGTTCCCTTTCCAGGCATCAGAGTAAACAAAAATGATTTGAACTTTAAAACTAACAGGCTCTTTGGTGGGAGAAAAAAAACAATCCTGCATCCCTACCAAGCTACTTTTATGCAATACAGGCACACGTGTTTCCTGTGTCTGGTTTGGACAAAAGCAGAGTGGTAAAAGCCTTGGGTCTGTGGCTGTAAAATCCTCTTTCAGAAATTCTCAGTATCTCCTTCTTTTAGCCTAGAGCTTCGAGTGACCCCTGTGAAAGGCTCTGTCTAACATCCGAATCAGGCAGACCACAGATGACACGAGAGCACGAGAAAGTCATTACCACCACTACCACCAACTGCAATTTTATCAGCAGAGAAGATCTCTTTAGGATTTTGGCCCAGGAGAACCCAGAGCCCAAAGCATCTCTCCCACAGGCTGATTCATCCAGCAGGCTGCTTCCAGCAGCGACCTGGGCCAGCTCACTCCAACACAACAAATCTCCAGACTCAGGACAACCACAGGACTCATAAATTCACACAGTGCAGCCCAGGACTTGTGGCTTCCAAAAATGAAACATCAGATGTTCCACACAGGCCAGAAAAATACATCTCTTCTCTATTTTAATGTATATACATATCAATATATGTACATATAAGACCTTTATATAACCTGTCACCACAACGTTATTTTATTCAAACACTGCTCTATCTGTATAATAAATAAACACAGACAACAATTATTTTATCTCTTTGGAAATCAAACAGTCCCAACTACACAGGAAGACGTGGTCAAACAGGGGACTCTTCTTTTCAGCCCAACACAGCACAAAAGTGAAATGTTAAATGCTTCATTTCTCCAGGAAGTTTCTCTTGGATGACTACACCCAAGTGAAACCAGGAGAAGTTTTAATTGAACTAAGTGAACATTTGAACCTAATATTTCCTTACCCTTCTGTACCAAAAGCAAGTTTGGACATTTCACTGTGTGAAGCTCTAAAGGAGTATCTTTATTTTAAAAAAGGAAAAGGAAAAAAAAAAAAAGAGAGAAAAAAGAAAGAAAAAAAAAAAGAAACAGAACAACCAAACCAAGCCAACAAATAACAGTAAAAAATCAATGAATCCCTGCACAACTGGAATCATCACTGCCCTCTACAGTCTTTTGGGAAAATGCTGTTCACTGACCAACTTGAGCTATTCCATTAACAGATGCACACAGATGTAAGTACTGTGGCTTTAAGCTACCCTCAGTTAAAAACTGATTTAAACCCCCTTTAATTGGCTACATTATCTTTACGATTTCATGGTGAATTCTTAACTACTTCAAGCCTGTTTTTTATGGGGCTGCCTAGGTTACCACAGTGATAAGCATATCAAATCTGTCTCTGTGCCTTCAGCTGGGCAGAGCAAGGCATCCCTGCTTGGTCTCCATGGGAAGCACCTTGCTGGACCCAGGGCACCTTCCAAGAGCAAGTAAGGATGGCCACACACACCAGGGCTGGCGCCAAACCACCAGTCCCAGCAGCAGCTTAATGAGAAGTTGGCAATCACCAGCTACACCATGACGTACAACTCTTCAGGGCAGCTAGGAAATCAGAAGTCAAAACATGACCCCAAATGCGGAAAAAAAAAAAAAAGAAGCCAGAAACAGGCAGGAACTGCAGTACTTTACAGTAAGCCCTCTTTGGAAATCTGAGAGCTGGGAGAGAATAAGGGGAAAACCAAAACCAGCCTGAATAATGCATTCTTTCTACTATTCAAAAGCAGGAGTATAATGGGCTGTATCTTGCCCATTTCAGAACATTTTCAACATGACAGGAAAGAGGGAACATCCTCTGTCAAAGTAGCAGCAGGCAACTTCCATATTAGGTCAGCATTTCTGGGTTGTTATTCAAACCTAGCAAGAGAGATGGAAGCAGAGCCAGGAGCTGGCACAGTCCAATTCATCACAGGGAGTGCTGTGGTGCCAAGCTGAACTGTACAGTGCAGGCTCAGAAAAAAGCATTCCCAGAGTCAACACAACATAAGTCTCCAACTCTACTTTTTCATCCATGGCCTCTCGGGAACAATGCACAATTAAGCCAGCCTGGGACAAACCTCAGAAGATGTTTTTTACTTTGCAGGCCTGTTTTCGCATATACAAATTATTTGAAAAAGTATTATGGGACAGCAGAAATGTGAAAATAGCTATTTTGATGCACAGTGCAGACAAGCTGTCTGATTTTAAGACACATTTGCCTGTTTTCAATGAACTTAACTAGCCCAGCTTTTTGGGTATGGAGAAAAACAAAAAGAGGAAAACAATTGTGATGCTGAGTTTCATGTAAGTGAATGCACAGCCCTTCCAGTCCAGGTATGTGCCAAAGAAGTGAGACAAGGAATGCCCAGAGGCACTTCCAAACTCCAGTGCCAAAGCCGCAGGGGTTTGGTTTTGCAGGGGAGCTCTCAGCAGGCACCTCCAGCAGCAGACTCCTCGTTCAGCATTTCCAATATATGGTCTAACAGGCTGAGATCTCAAACCCAGTAATTTCCTCCCAGCGAAAGACTTGGCACAAAAAAATCTCTGGTCAGATCAGAAGCAGATTTAGTATTAAGAATAGATTAAGTTTACATTGGAAAGAAGAAACATTTATTAAAAAAAACTCACAATATAAAGCAATCAAGGCCAGATTAGGTTCTGCAGTTACTGGCTGAGAACTCAGCAGGCTCCAAAAGCATCTCTGCTCAGTCCACAGAGATCAACCTCCACCATACTCTGAGCGAGATCCCCTCCTAAGAGGCCAATGAAAGATTTTTGAAAATATTAATTCCAAGACAGATGATTTCATTTTCCTCTTAAGATTAGGAGTTGGATCACCCTCATACTTGGGGATATTCTATCAAATCTAAACTATAAGGAACCCTTCCCAATCAAACCTACTAGGAAATAATTCTGCCAGCTTCCTTAGGTCGTAAAATAGACAGGGCTGAAGCAGAAGATCCCAGAACTACAGAATGGTATGATCACAATGAACATGGACATGGAATTTTCTCTTGGCTCAGGAGTCAGGCTAACCTTCCTCCAGTATCAGGACAGCTGTGGTGCTGCTGGAAGCTCTGCATCAGCTCAAGGCCGCCTGGACTGAGATCAATGGCCTTGTCTAATGACATAACAGATAAGTGACGTTTCCCCCCAGTGCAGCCAGGCCCTGGAAGCATCACAGGATAATGACACAGGGAAACAACTACACTGGGAGATCTCCTGATGCAGCAAAACCCTGTTACAGCCTGCACTGCCAGACAGAAACAAACAGTATCTGCTTAAAAGATTGGGATGGGCTTTACAGCAAAAAAGAATGGTTACAATTCCTTCAAAACCACGGAGGGGAGCATGCAGAAAGGCACATACTTGACATTAGTGTTGGTGCAGATGATGTATTCAATCTCATCAGAGTAAGGATTCTGAAACGTGAAGCTGCTGGTTCTGATCAGCATCCACTCACGGTTTTTGGTGCGAAAACGATACATCACAGACAGGACCTGACCCTTCAGTTTCACCACCTGCAAAGCCATGTGGGAAGGTTAATAACAGGAGATATCTGCTATCTGCTGTGTAAATGAATAGTTAACAGCAGCAACTGGTGCATTTTAAACTTGAATTCCAGAAACCTATGGGAACAGCAGAGGAATTTTTAATTTGGAGAGAATCTGCAAAATCCTATCCATGTTCACAGCTATCTCCTTCAGAACAAAATCCTCAGGCTTTGTCATACAAAATGCCAAATTCCAGCCTGCTTATAAAAAGAATACAGACTCAGGACCATCATCATGTTGTGCTGTAAGCCCAACACAGAAACTTTAAGTATGTTTCAATGTGAAACACTTACCGAGAGATTAACAGAAACCAAACTGATGATTTTGTAAATGTTTATCTGTAAACCATAAACCAATCACTGCAAGTAAAAAAAGCCTAAAAGAAAAGCCATTTTGAGGTTGACTGCTTTTCTGCTTGGATACTCAAGCAGATACAATTAATATACAATTAATAAATGTGAAAAATCAGCATCAAAATTTAGGATGATGCTTAAACACAGTGGTATTTACTTTTTGGTTTTTTTAGAAACCATCACGTGTTGGTTCCCCCCATCCCAAACATATTAAAAGATTCTCTAGGATGGCAAATTGCTAACAAGAAACACTTGCTTCTGTTTCAGCAGAAAAAGAGTGTTTGGATGTAGAGAACACTGATAAGCCACTGTCCATTTTAATACTATAAATTCCTTGCTTGCACAGGCCATTTGTTTGTAACTAAGAATTCAGATGTCTGGGTTTGGTAGCTGAAGTTTTGTTCAAGTCAAAGTTGGGCACCAAGTGAGGATTAAGAAGCAGCCAACTAAAGCACATTCAAAGCAATCTTCTCACACTGGCCCTGCAACTGCATTTCACATGTTATCCAACAACCTGGGGTTAAGCCAGAAGAAAACTTTCATGGTTTTAAGTCATTCAGCTGGCACTTACCTGGCCTATCTCTGTTTATATTTTACAGCTTTTCCACCAGGCTATCCCAGGCTTGCCTCAAGGAAGGAAAGGGAAGGTCTACTGCAAATAAATGCCACATCTTGTGGATTCTTAATCATTAACATCTGGAATTTACTTTTTATTAGCTATCTGCAGCCTGGATTCTCTAAAAGTCCCACTATTTACCCTCTGTCTTCATTGACAAGTTATTAGATTAAGAAAAATGTTCCAATGCTGCTTTTTTCAGAGGTTTGCACTTCAAATTAATCAACTGGATATGGGACTAAATGGAAGAATGCAAACAGAAGACAATGCAAATAGAAGACACAACAAGCTTTAGCAAAGCTCAGGGAAGTTCAAAATCATATTGAAGTAAATGACTTTTGGTTGGTTTTGTTGGCCCTTTTTTTTATGCTTTTACAGGGTTTTTCTGAGCTCACTGAGCAACATTCTTTTATCAGCAATTTTCTACTACCACACCCAGGGCAGAAACCACAGAGCTGGTGTAGAGTGTGCAATCTGAATAGTATTCTACTGGGTATCCAACAGCTGTATATTGGAGCCTTTGATATTAAACTGTATGTGTTTGTCTTAGCCTTGAGACTATCTCATTCTGGCCTGATTTTTCCCACCCCGATGAATGAATTTATCTTCCCAAGGAAATGAAGCTCTAAGACAGATACTGGCAACTGACCAAAAATTGCAAACCCACCCTCCCTCTCTCCCTCCTTCCTCTGTTATGCACCAGCCTGGTTCTGATACTGTCAGCAAATCAGAAGCGTCAAGTTTTCAGGTTTTAGGAAAAAAAGGAAAAAGAGTTTATTTGAAATCACAGTTACCTTTTTAATTAAGAGATTTCTAAGTCCAAACTAATAATAATAAAACAAATGGCAGTGATCTATTACCCTGAAACCTTGATTAAGCAAACAGTAATTCTGTAATAATATATAAAGCAGAGAGATTGCTGGTGGGAAAATCCTGAACTGTCTTAAGACAGAGCACACAAACAAACCAGCACAAAAAATTTCAAAGCCAATGACAAAACTTTACTTTCTTATACTCTTTGGAAATAAAAACCACCTGGTGCAAAGCTTAACTGTTTACTTCAGTCTTTTATTGCATGATGGGAATAACAGCCCCAAACTGCTACTGTACTGAACAAAAATACACCCAAGAAGGTATTGCCTGCTAAGGAAACAACACAGTATTTTCACAGATTGGACATAGATTGAGTGAACAGGAACTTTCACTTCTAATTGTATTTTTTCCTGCTGTCTTTCTGTATGACCTTAAGCAAATCCTGCAGGTCCCTGATCCAGCAAACCACTTATGCACATGCCTAGCAGTGAGTGGTGACAGTGGAGTCCCCAGTGAGTTCAGGGACACGCTGGCAGCCTGCCGCAGCCTGAGCTCCCTCCAGTGAACACGGGGAGGACCAAGTCATTAACTGCAATGTTCATTAGTCAGCCCTGCTGAGACCCAGGCAATCGCTGGATGGATTCCCTGCAGAGGATGTTTGACAGGCCATTATCCAGCAGCTCTCTGTCACTGTCCCTTGGACAGATGAGTGGAATCAATCATTTGGGCACCACTGAAAAGCAGCATATGTGTTCTCACTGCTCCTGCGCCGTCAGGCACCAGTTCAGGAGCTGAACCAGCCCAAAGCTGAAGTTCCATGCAAAAGGAATTATGGCCTCAGCCCTCCCTCCCAGCAAGTCCACCCAGGCCAGCACCAAGGCAGCAGGAAGGTGGGGAGGAGGGCAGGCAGGAGAGAAGGGGGAAAGCAGGAGCTGACTCCTGGTGACGGACCAGGAGGATTCAGCTGCAGCATCACATCCCCAGCGAGGTGGGGCAGAGGAGATGTTCTGGGTGTGTGACCTGCTTAAAGCATTGAATTCTCACAGCCTCTGAATCAACACCTTGAATTTAAAAAGGCTGCTGTTTGCACTCAGTCTGGGCAAGGGAACTGAAGGCACACTTGGCCATGGGGCTGGTAGTCCCTGTTGAAGGGGGGATGGTGAGAAGCAGCTCAGAAGGACGAATATCTTACACCATCTCCAATGCTTCTGCAGAGACCATAACCTGAGTTTCACAATCTGTTCTAGGGACACAGTATTTAGCTGTTTTGCCCCCAGAGGCTCTGTCTGTACAGGCCATGCCTGAACAAATAGTTGCTATATAAATTACTTAGGAGTCACTTCATATCCACATTTCACAGCTGAAAATACATCTCAGCATCCAGCGCAAGATGGATCAACACAACTTGGTTGAGCTATTGGCTGTTAGAAAATCTGGAAACACTTAGATCAACTGAGCCTCAGCAACAGGTTAAACATCCTGTGCTGGGTGCAGCAGGAAAGGCACTGAAAAGCCCAGGGATAAGGAGGCAGCTCGGGGAAAGCTGTGCTAATGCATGTTACAGACCAAGCTGAAACAGCAAGCTCTGCAATGGAATAAATGTCACTGATTCAGCTGATGTAAATGTGGCCCGTGGTAAAAATGAATCCAAACCGGTAACTCTTCCTGTATACTGCATTTCTTTTGTTACTTCCCTGTACATTTCAATTTCTAACAGAAGAAAAGGGCCAAATTACATGTAGATGTAAAGTGTAACTTCATTAAAGTACAAGAAAAAGCAAATCATCTGTGCTAGCAGAGAACTCAGCCACAAACAATCCAGTGTCACAGAGAGATGTAACTACTTCCAAGTCAACAGCCCATCTTGGAAGGTAAATAATTTTAGTTACCACTTATCATAGGGGGATCAACACAGGCATCTCCAAAACTGTTCACTCTGTGCAGCAAACAACCAAATATATACCTAGAAGATTTAGTTCTGAAAATATTGTCAACCCATGGTGCAGTTTAAGCTACCATTTATTATGCAGCTTAACCAACTGATAACTGACCAACAGATTGTTTTGTATCTTGCCACTTCTCCTCCCACATAAAAATAAAATAAAATAAAAACTACTTCTGTGGACAAAATAATAATAAAATAATAAAGTGTGGAACAAAAGGAGCAGGACACAGCACCTGTTGGAAACTCTCTCGCAAATGGCTTTGGTCTTCAGGATGGCAGAATTCTAAAATATCTTTCCCCAGAAGATCCTAGAATAAAACATAAAGCTATGTAAAAAACCCAAATTATAACACAAATCCACATGTAGACCTACAAGTCATTTTTGCAAACACAAGATCTATCACATTTAACGAGACTACTCAGTTATCAGGGATGAATCATACAAACAAGGTTTGTAGGCATCATGCCCCATGTTTTTACAAAAAAAGTTTAAGTTATTTTCTAATACCTGTGAAATGGTGTCTTGAAAAGACTGGCATCTGGTACTACAGCTCATTTTATGCCACTAATTTTTGTAAAAACACTTACCATAAAGCAATTAAAAAAAAAAAAGCAAATGAACAAGGAACTACTTTTGCCTCTAAATTGCAACTGCTGAGAGTTATCTGAGGAAGAGCTGTGGTTCATTTACTATTCTACTCAGTTCTGTACTAGCCTCCTGTTCAGAGGAGCAGATGTAAGCCTAAAGGAAAATAGATGCTGTAAATTATGTCTGTTTACTGTTCAAGAGATTGGCAGAATCAAAGGTCTACAGGACTAAAACTCTTTTCCAAGCACTGTTAACTTTCTATCACAGAAATGTCTTCACTGGAAAGCAGCGCAAGGTTCAGAGCACTCTGCTGTTGGAATTTTAATCAGACCTAAAGGTATAAACAGATACCCCACACACAGGCATGGACAGCAAAGAAAAACCAACAGCATTCAGTGCCTGATGTACAAATTATCAGCTACAAATACTTCATGCTTGCAAATGGGATTTTCTGCATTAGCTTCACCCATTCTCCACATTCCCAGTGGGCACAGACCTGGGGCTGGTAGCCAATGACGCTGATGCACCTTGGGTCCACGAAGGTGATGACTCCATCCGAGTTGTGCCTGGACAGGAACTCCGTGGGCACCGACATGCCGCTCATGTCCATGCACACGGGAGAGCTGGTCACCTAGGGCGAGAGAGTCCACACCAGTCACCAGAGCCACATCTCACCCCCAGCTAAAGGACACGACCTGCTGGCAGACTGAAGAAAGTAAAATAGAACAACAGCACAGATAAATGACACAACAGCCTTTAGTCCGACTGCAGTGCAAATATGGAGGGCAAATATCCCTCATGGCATCTACGGAAGATTAACAACACACCAGAGGTTCCCAGGAAGGGGGGATATACTGAGGATGTAAGTCCAGCTGCACTCATCTCACTTTGCAGAACATCAGGCATCGTGGTGCTATCTCTGCCAACCAAGAATGAATGACTTGCAAGGACAATGCAGTGCACTCATTTTAAGACAGGAAACCAACCCATAATCTGTAGACCTAACCAACAGCACTGCTCAGACTAATCACTCCTGTTTCAGGTGACATGAACCTCACCTGAAACACCTGAACCAAGTCCTCCAGAGGCTGAGGTAGGGGATAACAGACCAGCAAGTGGCTGCTCATAATGAAAAACACAGTTCTTTAAATATTTCCCAAATCTCACCAGAGAGAACTATGTGTTTTCTCTCTGCCTGAAATCTGTGCTACCAGGCCACTTCATATCCATTCTTTCCCACTGGAGGTACAAAGGAGACCACTGATTTTTTACAAGTTCCAGAGCTATCTCTGCTAACGATGCAAAATGAGCAAAATCTCATTTTTTTGCTAACTTGGAACGGATTAGCCAGTTAACCATATGCAAGATTTAAACTTTCTGTTAGAGAACAAGAGTTTTTAATTTGTGCACCCTGACTCCTTTCTGATCTAACCCACCACAGAGCTTCCTCCTGCCCGCCCTCACATACCACAATGGCTCCTCTAACGTAACAGACATTTTGACATTACTTGGAAATCATCTTTCTTTGGAAGCTGTAACACATAAACCCCATAACTTCCTTCTTTGCATCAGTGGAATATATTCCTCTTGATTATGAAGGCATGATTAACCTGAAGCCCACCCTGCAGTACTTGTGCAGCTCTGCCATGGCCATGGAGAGCCACTCTGCAGACGTGCCAACACCTGCAGGCTGTTCACCTCGGGTCAGATGGGTTTGGCCCCTGTGAAAGGGTCATTCCACCTTGTCAGGAGGAGTGATCCCCTCCTAGCAGATGGCAGCGAGTCCAGGGGATCATGCAAGAGGCTCAAACATGTTCACCCAGACCAGGAAGATAAAAACTGTCCTCCCTGCTGTGGTGAAGGAGATTCACTATGACTGCTTTAGCTCAGAGCTCTGAACTCTGCTCAGCAGTGCACAAAGGAGGAAATGCACTACAACAATTGCAACCGCCTGCACAAAAAGGAAGGAAAATTTTATTCTCCCAGTTCCTTCAGCTCACATCTCATCTGAATGCATAACACAATACACACTGAGAATAAAACTATGATTTCTGAAGTGCCTCTTGACTGCTTTATCTTTACCATTTTCAGAATAACTCCTGCAATCATAGTTTTCAAAGTAGTTGATTAGTCAGAGAGTGAATGACTGGAAAAATGCCAGGGAGCATACCACTGGCTTTGGGGGTCACTTTAACCCACCACCTGCAGCACCTGTACTGCCACATTTCTCACTACCTCCAACACCCCAGCCCTACACACCCTGAAGAATGGCAGGTCTGTGCACACTCATCAGGAGCTTCTCTGCTGTTGTTACTGCATTAAGCACACACATCCAGCATCAAAATCACCATTTCATTTTGCTCTGCTGACAAGTTCTAGACAAATCACTAACTGCACAGACATCAAGGCACTTTATAAACTGGAGGCATGTTAAAAGTTACAGTCTAGTAGCAAAACAGTGTGCACATCTTTTATAAACACACCAGAACAATGATCATGCTTTCAGAAATAGTTTGTATATGGAAAGACTGGCATTACCTGAAGCCTTCCTATTGCCACGAGGCAGTATTTACTACCTTGTCCCACATCAGCATCTTCTTCTGGTATAGTCATTCCTGGAGTAAACGATAACAAATACTGTTATAATTAGGGAATTGGGATAAACAGAGATGCTGCTGTCCTGGCTCTGTACTTTTATAGATACTCTACAGTTTACAAAATGACCTCATTTTCTTCTCTAAGATTCAGTTATTATTTCTGGGTTCAGATCAGATGATGCCTCTCAGTTGTGCTCAGTCCTGTATACCTCACACACACATACACAATACCCATAGCAGCAAGTTTGGCTGCTGAAGACAAAGCAGCTAATATTCTACTAAAAATACTAACATTCTACTAAAGATACTAAAATTCCATGATACACCAAGATGGACAGTAACATTTCCATGAGTGCTCCACCAGCACATTACGGAACCATGGGGTCACTTAACCATGGTCAGTGAATGCACACTATGTTCAGTTTTCTTTGTGAATAATATTTTATAATGAGCCTTAAAAACAAGACACAGCCTAAAGTAATCACTAATTCCGTGCTCATACTGAACAGCTGGTTTTACTTTTTTCTATAATGAACTAAACTTGTGTTGTTACGTTGAAAGACTGAAAAAAATGCAGATGCTTTGCTAACACTGCTCGTTCCAGCTGTGTAACAGGAGTAAGTACTATAAACACAGGAACAGTTTCAAAACATACATGTGTACTATCTTCCATCTCAGTGTTTCACAAATAGGAACACTCAGATTAGCACTGTTTACTTGCTTGCTGGCTAAGCCTTGAGCTAAAGCTATTTCCCAGCTCCAGTACTGAGACACCAAGTTCGTATCAAACACTTGAAAAAATGTCTTCCAGGAGTGAAACCAGTGACCTAGTTTAAGTGATCTGTAAACTCTTTCACAAGGATTTTCAAGAAATTCAGTCATAACAGGCAGTGAATCATTTAAGAGGCACTTCAAAACATTAACGAAATTAATTGCAAAGCAGCTACCATTCCTGAAACAACAGCCACTTTATTTTTTAAATTTATAATCCCCAGTGTAAGCCAATCTTTGGACAGTCCACAGGATGACAGCACACCACTTTCGTGAATGATACCTCTGAAAAACCACTAAAAATGCTGCTGAATGGAGTAATCTCTAAGAATGTCATTTTGTATCAAAACAGTTGAATCTTATCTAACGATCAGCTTCCAAACAGCATTTTACAGGTATTTTTTGGTCTTCACTGAACTATACAATAAAATAAAATACACCAAGTATTGAGGAAAATCCTCCATGTTTTTGTATAATATATTGAGACTTGTTCTGCAGTAACTTCACAATCTGGGGTGTACAACATTATTTTCAGCCCCCTACTAATAACTAGAATTTTATCAAGGGGTCTCAATAGCTTTACAAAGGAGGAGCATTATTATCTCATCTAACAAGTGCTGTTTTAACTCTTAATCATTCTAGCTGTATAACCTTAACCAAAAGATCCCTTTCAAATGGAGTTTTGCATTTGAGAAGGACACATTTAAAGCACATTCCCTTGACCTCAAAAGCTTTTTCCAATCATTTCCTTAGTGGCACAGAGTATTGCAAAGGACAGCAAAGATACAGCTGGACAGCTTCCACTTTGCATAATCTTTTTTTCTCTGTAGCTTTCAACAGTGATTTCCTTTTTAGGATCTTGGTCCACGCTTGCTACTGCTCAAATAGAATCAAAGTAACATAAACAACCTCCAAAATTAAACATAGCTAAGAAACATTATTTCTGATGTCACTCTGTTGACAAAGGGAGGCTGTTGTTCTAATTTTCATCTTTTTTTTTTTTTTTTTTTTTTTTTTTCCTTTTTGCCCAAGATGGATTACATTTGGTCTGTATAGCAAAATGGAAAATGTCTTAGCTGGGTTATGCCACAAGACACTCTACTGAGTAAAAACCAATCTGCCTGGAACTAATCAATACATGACCCAGTGGATTGTTAACCCCTTTCCAAAGTGCCTAGAGAAAAAATATCACAAGAAGATTTTCTGCTTCTCTGCAATGTAGGTGCTACTACTGGCAGCCTTCCACAGAGAGAAATTATTTTCTTTATTCTTCAGCTGATATTTCCAAAGATTCTGCTTTGGGTGTCTTTATATGGGAAGGTGCCATTTGTAGGTGAGATTTACTTTTGCTTTAGCACACTTCCTATTGTACACACCCCAATATGGACAGGTAAATAAAGATGTGCACTGCACTTTCTACTAGTTTGTCCAGCTCTTAACAGAATGCAATATTGCCCCTTAACACCACCAAGTCCCATCATTATCTCTAAAAAAAGTTGTAAGATCTTGGAGGAAAACAGCCATGAAATGACCTTTAGGGGGCATCCACAAAATAAACATATTTCAGTTATTCACATTCTTTATGTGTAACCCTGGGAGAGGGTTTATTTCTCAACACCAAATATACACCCCTCTTGAATAATAAATACAGTGCTGTGCTTGCCTGAGTTCACATCAACAACTGGCACAGCTAAGCTGCAACTGAGCATCACAAATAGAATGCTGTGCCATCAGAGGTTATATTTAATTTCCAAGGGTCCTCTATACCAGCAAACAATTTCCCACAGGGCAACAGCATGTGTTTGTGTGGACATAAGGAACTTTTTAGTTTTCCCAATGAGCTTCCAGTTGGCTCTAACAGCTTCATTTTCTGCTTTCTTTCTCTACACTTTTGCCCCACATCTTCTGCAAGACACACAACAGCACTGGTGGATTTATGGCTTTATTTCACTAGACTAAAAAATAAATTGTTTATAATTCTTTAAAAAGATGGAATTTAAGTGTCCAGTGGTCATTAGCAATCCCTGATAATGTCTGTCTTCATTAGATGCACTTCTGATAGTTACTTGCCAGGGAAGGAACTACACTGTGTGACTTTACCTCTCATACAAAACAATGGAAATAGGCTGTGGATAGCATACTAAGGATAAAAATCTCATGAAAAAATCCCAATAAAAACTAAATTAACCACTCTTTAAAAAAATAAATAAAGCCTTAAAAATGACAGCACTGCAAGGAATATTCAAGCAACTAATTTGTTTTGTGTTGGAAGAGGGAGTACTTTGCACAAATGTCCAGATTCTGGCCAAAACTTTAAAATAACCTAACAGCTTTGGCATGCTGTGGTTAAGATGTTACCGTAAGTCTGACTTGGAAGACTAAAATGTTTCTTTTTTAACTAAAGAGTAAAAAAAATATTTCAACATTATCTGAATTTACCATTATTCTGTGACTCTTTATTTGAAGTTTCAAAACATGTATCTATCTCTTTGCTTCACTATGTGCTTTTGTGCAGATCCTGGCTTTGATTTACAGAAAACTACCAACATCCTGAAAGACCTTATCTTCTCTCTCCACCAAATCTTATGCCACAAAAAGAAAGCAAAACAAACCTATTAGGAAAATATCATATGGACCACAGAAGACTCATTTCCTTCCAGGAATAAGGTATTCAGAGGGGAAAAAATAGAAGAAAATAAAATCTTGCTTAAGTTGAAAACAGGAAGACCCAGGAGAAGGTCAGCACTTCTCAGTTTTATGACTGGCTATGAACCTGAAGCACTGTCGAGGCTGAGGATCACAAGTTCCATCTGTGCTCTTCGCTGGGAACAGAGGGACAAAGGCTGGGATTGCTGCTCAGCCAGCTTCAAACAAGGGGTCCTTTTACCTCATTCAAAATAACCCAACACCACACTGTCATTATTTAACCAAACATACAACACAACTGGCTGGAACATCTATCTGAAATATCTGACTCCTTTTTCCTTTGACTTCTACACCAAGTTTACACCTGATTACTTGAGGCCAGCATATAACCCATGGGAATAGAAGTGTGATCTTATTTTTACCTGTCTTTTTAGGCACATTGAAGAAAAATGAACAGACCATTAACACACAGCCCGAACAGAGGCTGAGGCAGGATGCTTCCTCTGTTTTCTCTCCCCTTTCTCAGTGAAGAAGGGGCTGAAGGCAGGCTGCCAGGACATGAGCCTTGCTGCTCTACACAAGGGAGAAAAGCCACAAAGGCAGGCTGGATGTGCCAGTGTTTTCATGCTGAACACAGACCTGAGCCATAACACAACAAATCCAGCCCTTAAAATATGCCACCAGCTGTCTGCAGCTTATTCATTGTCACCTGTTTGAAGCACTCACATTACTTCAGATTTGCACAGACTCGTCTCTGCAGCAGCACTGTCAAACAGTCTATCACACCAATAATGATCACAAAGCAATTCTCCTCTTGCTGCTGTATCAACACTGATTTATTCAGCGTGGGACTAAAAACCTGAACACTGGCTACAGACAATGCAATTCAACCCAGAAAGAGAAAATACCAAGTGCTAAACAAATGAGACTAAGTACAGATTAAAGGCATTTGATAATAATGGTTCTTTTCCTTGTGAAAGTACACTTCATATTGTATATTAGCTATGTAATACACATGCCACACTGCATGCTTTGAAAGAAAAGGATCTGGAGTTTATACCAGTGTCCACTTGGCAACTGAAACATAAATGAAAATTATCTTTTTGATCACTGAATTTTTAAACAGCTGTGATTTAGCACAAATCCATTTATTCCCAAGAATCCAGAGACCATGCAGGCTTGCTGATTTGAACAAAGTAATTTTATTACAGGGTAGAGAAGCCTTGGCAAATTACATTACTGCTGTAGTTATCTCATTTGCTTTGCAGATTATGGTTGGATTACCACTGGAAATGACAACAAATGCAGCGATGTTGTCACTTATTTACTCAACTATAGGGGAACAATTCAGCCTATGGATATTCACATTCAACTTTGAAAGCCAATGGATACATGACAATCACCAACACAAAGTGGGGAAGACTGGGAAGGCAAATAAGCACTCATGAAAAAGGCCCTGATTCAATTCTGTGTGCCCTGAAAAAGGCACCCAGACATGACTAATAGAAGTAACAATTTGGATGGCAACATAAAAGACCAATGAAATTCCACATAAGGCTGTCAAAACCAAAATCATCCCTTAGGATTAGTTTGGAGGCATTAACATTATGGAGGAGCACTGGGATATCATAAAGAGCACCATGTGATTTTGAGGAGTGGATGGAAATGGGATGAAATCCAGCATTACTAAATGCATAAGCATGCACTTGGGGAACAGTAACAGTCATAAGCTAAAGCAACAGAAATAGGATGGAACTTGATATTACTAATTGAAACATCACCACAATTCAAAACAAGATTTGCAGTTGACAAGCGAGAAAAAGGCAACCTGGAAGACATAAATTTATATCAGATGTGTTAGGATGGCTGCAGGATGCACCACACTCAAGAGAAGGATGTTACATTGCCAGGCAAGACAGGAAATATTGTTATCCATCACTACAATCTCATCTGAAATAAGAATGTGTAGTGCCAGTGACCTACATTTTGAGAAGTGAAGTGAAAACACGAAAAATTGCAGAGAAAAGCCACAAAGGTAAAGAGAATACATTCTGAGAATGGAAAGTAGAAATGGCCTGAATTGTCTTTGCAAAGTCCAGGCTGACAGAATACAACCTATTTGTGGAAACACACCAGAATACTGGAGAGACACAGTGGCACTAGGCAGGAAAACACCCATTGGACCTCCAGTGAAATAAAAACTTCCCATAAAGGAATAAGCAGCAAGGTTTTGGAAGAGATGGGATGGGGAAAAGGCCTCAGTAATGCCAACTGGGATTTGATACCTGGCCACTGGGCACTCAAAGACCCAGAAGATCATTTTAACCCCAAGTGCCATCCTACAGAACTGGGGCTGAAGGGCACACACTGCCAACATCAGGACCGAGCGCTGACATGAGTTCTTGCATCTGTAGCTCTGTATCAGCAACATACACCCCTGAAGAGTCAGACCTCTTTAAACATCCCATAATGTGTGGAAAGATTCGCATTCAAGCTAAACAAAATCTTAATTGACCTACACCTTCTTGAGGAGACATCCCGTATATGAAGGTTGAATTAAATTACATTTAGAATTACCAGTAGAAAAGTACTAAAGTACATCTTTTTGCAGAAGAAAACAAAACAGAAAAAGCCATCAATTTCCAGAGCACTTTATAGACACTGTGCTCTCTCACACTTTTGAGATAGAAGCGAAATTAGAACATCTTGACTCCTATTAAATCCTATTAGCAACAAGAGGGGCAGTTTCCCTCTGCTTCCAAAACTGCATTTCAGCAAAAAACCATTAAGAAGTTCACATCTGCACGCTGCTGTCGGCACACCCCTGCACACATTGGGTACAAACCACGTCTGAGGACTCGTAATCCCTGGATCAATGTGATTTATGGCCGTGGTGCACAACCACGAAAGGGCAGGACAGCTCCTGGTTTGATTCATGCCAGCAGGCGCTGTCACACTGCAAACAACCTCTTCAACTCCTGCAAACGCCAAGGTCAAGTAACCCCACTCATAATGAGGTCTGGATGAGCTCCACTGTCTCCTCTTGGAATTTTTCAAAGGTAAATATTCCCATAGGTAACACTGAGTTCCAGCAGGTAAATGTTTTTCTCCGTAGATCAAAGCGGTATGCCAAGACTTGATTCCCAGAAAAACAGCCTCAAAACAGAATTTATCACAAATACTGAACATTCTCAAGTAACACCATTACTGAGAACTTCCATGTGTCTAAAGTGAAATTTCACATTTTCATACTTAAGTGCTTGCAATTCAGTACTTAAGTAGAAAAGCAGTAACTGGTGTTTTCTAGAGGTATACAATCTTTTGTGTCCACCTTCTTAAAATGAGACCATTTTTATATTGGTTTACCAACATAAGTTGAAAACTTTTGGCCCCCGTTTGTGGAGTCCTGCATTACTGGCAAGTCCCACAGGTCCTCTGTGGCAATGAAATGGAGAAGGGCGTCCCACGGAAAACAGGGATGCCCTGAGTGAGTACAACAGCTGATTTCTTCTTAGCAAAAGCTTCTCAAGGTGAGCTTTAATCAGCTACCCCACTAAAACTCTCCCAGTTTTTCTAGCAGCAAAGAAACCTGAGCCAAGTTTTCAGCTGTCCTAAGGACAGTTTGGTGCACACTGCCCACTTTTCCATAAGGGACACAAACCTGCTGGTGGCCAAGCCTTGATATAGCCAGTGCAATGGACAACAGCATATTGTGCTTCACCTTCTTTCACCGGGCCCAGGCCATTCCTGAATGAACAAGAAACACAAAAACATCACACTGGCATGCAGAATAGCTTTATGCTTTCAAACTATGACTACTAATGATTTACCAGTATTTGTAAGTTATGCTGGAAACACCCGAGAATCAGCCTAGGGCTCTGTACACTGCCAGCTCTATTATGCTGCTATTCAAGCTGTACCTGTTTTCTGTAGTATTTCTCTGAGAAAGATATTGAAGATTGATTCAGAGCTGGAGCTGGTGTAAGGCAAAGAGTCTGAGTGACACATGCAAGAGATTATGTGTGCTAAAGGATCCAATGAGTGCAGGAGCAGTAACACTCCTGGAGTGAGCATTAGCCCAGTGGCAAATGAGAGGGCTTAAGGCAACTACAGCTGCTCTGTGGCAAATTAAGCAATAGTACCTGTATCTTTTTCTCATGGTGGTTATCCTGTTCAGAGGTAAATGATCCAGAGGAGCATTTCCACACCTGAAAGTAAATTAGTATTTTAAAGGGCTCAAAAATGACACATGATAAGAAAGGCATTTTGAGATCCTTACTACTTGCATAAGAAGACAATAATAGATACTTATTCCTGGCAAAAAGTTGCATATTCATGTTTACATAGAACATGCTGTTTCCACAGGCTGAGCTTTTTAGATGTGCTATAAAAATCTTCTTTATTTTAAAAAAATGAAAGACACCAGAAAAAGATTCCCTTCCACACTCCCCCAGTAGAAAGACTTTGAAATTGATATCCCAAGGGTAGCTAAAGAATAGACTCACTTCAAAATACCATAAAACAGAGGTGAGAACTAGAGAAAAATATGTCAGGCCCCCAAACATCCACACAAACCACACTCAGTGTTCTTGTAGCTTCCCTGAACAGAAAAATTCCACTGCCATACACCAGCTACAATGTCTGTAGATATTAAGATAATGTTTGCAAGATCAAACTATTTATACTGTCAAGTGACTTTGTTTAACACTTGTTCATGTGTATTTTGTGATATTTATAAGTATGCCTAACTGTATAATTTCAACAATCCATCTGAAGCTGAGTAAATAGTTTGAAGGGTAAAAGCAGTTCATTTTTAATGGAAAAATAATAACAACAATGAAAGAAGAAACCACAAGGAAAGTTCACATTATCTGAGGCCCATTCTTCCCAGAAGAATTTTCTTTTTATTCCTTTAATTTTTCCTTTATCAGTCACTGCCAAGGAGAAGAAGTGAACAACTAAAATAAGATTTAGAAATACAAAAACAGTGGGGTTATGGGCATGTGTAAAATCACTCTCAAGCACTGGAGTTTACAGAATCAGGGTGCTAGGAAATGACTGCAGTCTGAACTGTTTTGAAAGCTGGGGAACAACTGCAAACAGGACACTAGGCCTGGTTTTCTATGAACAAACAAGTCTTCGTAACATGATGTGCATCCTGGGAGGAAGAAAAAGCAGTGTTCTCAGTGCTGGGAGCTCTGCTGGGCTGTATTTCTTCCCTCCCAGTTAAGGAGGAAAAAGGTTCTATAGCTCTGAAGTCTGACTTTGCAGATATAAAGTCTATAAACACTTTACAAAGGCACCCAAAATCTATACCTTCAGCACCCTCACAGGACTAGAAGAAATCCACCACATTACCAAAGTACATGTGTCTGTATTTTAATGTGTCAAATACTGAGTTTCATTCTGTAATGAATTTTGCAGTGCTGATGTCAGGATTTATACTGGACATAGCCTACAGATACAATTATGTCCTTTCCCCTCCTAACCACAGGAAAAAAATTAATTGCAATAGCAACAGGCATTTTACCTTGTTAGCACTAAAACAAGAAAAGTGCTCACAAGCCCCCAAAAAAAGCATTGGGCAGACAAATCTCTTTAAAGAAGCTGAAACAATGCAGGAGAAGTTGGAAAATTGCAAATCAAAAACCCTCTAACAATTACTCATTTATCTAGCATCAGCCAGCTGACATCTGGTTAATTCATACCAGGCTTAGGCTAATTCCTACATAGCTGGCAGCTTTGCAACTGAATTCTTGTTTATCTTTAAGATTCTTTTAATATTCTTGGTTTGCTGAAAAAATACACAGAGCTGTGTGTTCATAGCACTTGTGAAAGCTTTGTTCCCAAAGTATCAATTTGAGTAACTTGACTAGAGAAGACTATGACTAAAATTCCAGGGAGAAGCTGTCAAGGTGTGATGGGTGAAGTTCTCCGGAAAAAGGAACCTACACCCCACACTCATAAGAAAAACTACAACAGAAATGAGGTGCTGTTTTGTCATTAACTATTAAGGAAGACTAGTTTCAGTTTCACTCCAGTTCCTAAAGCAAGTATTCTAGAAATACTTCATGGCAGTGTGTCATTACAGCTTTAGTTTGTCATCAAGGCCAAATTAGTGTAACAAAATGTCTGAAGTCTAAGCTGAGACAGGACTGGAACCACAAGGGGAACACAGGGTAAATGCATACCTCATCCTGCAAATGAAGGAGCGCCTGGAGCCCATGCACATTCTCATGGAGGACTGCTGACCTTCCTTCTTTACTGTCCCCGTCTTCAAGTCCAGGATTCGTCCTAGAAATGCCAGGGAGAGCAAGTGGTGTTCAGTACATAAATTTAATTCAATTTACTAGAAACTAAGATAACAAGAAATTTATGAGCTGAATGTCATTAGCCCAGTTAAGGGAAAAAAAATCCCAAAAAAAAAAAATATATATATATCTTGCTCCTGTTTCACAGGGGAGGATCAGGTATGTGCTGGTTTCACTAAAGATTTCAGCAAAGCTGACTCTGAGCCACAGGAGTGATGGCTCTTTTCTCAGCTGGCCCAAGACCAACTTCCAAGGCAGAGTCAAATGCCTGGAGGCAAACAAGGCAATGACAGCAGGCACAGCTTTTGACTTGATCTGCTTGCTCCACTCTTTACCAGAACTGTGGATAAAGCAACATTTATCAGTCCCCTGACAGCTGCTCCTCTTGTTTCCCTGTGCTTGTACCCATCCAGAACACTCTCACCATAGCACCACCTCAGTCAGAGCTGTCAGGATGGTGAGATGCACAAAAGACCAAACTTTTCTCCTTGATGATGAGATACAGGATTTGTCACAACAGCCCTTGCGCTGGGGCCCATTTAAAGTTGCTAAAAAATTGACATGTAAATAGCATTTCTAAAGTTTATTTTCAGATAGATCAGTGACATGATCTGATTCATCACACAGCAACACAACCTTGGGCAAGGTCCAGGGCCTGACCCTGCTCCCTACAACGCTCAGAATCACACACCACAGGCACAGCTTGGCAAAGGGATGACAGCCACCAAGTCAGCTCAAGAGAGGACAGGAGGGAGGGAATGCATGCAAAGGTATGAAGGGGGTAGCAGATTAATTTTTTCATTTAAAACAGAAGATTGATTACTACAGACAGGTTCAGATCAGGGATTTGAGCATCAGGCAGACTCCTTCTCCTTATCACCAACAGAATGGATTTTCACTTCTAGAGATCAAGTGCTAAGAGATGACCAGAAAACTCAGCACAGACTAGAAATGAATCACTGGACCAGATCCACAATGCTGAAGGGTTGGATGCAGCCACAAAAGCGACAGAGAAATGCAGTGGAACAGCTGCCAGGCAATTACATGACAGCCACCAGTGCTGACAACACATGGCCACAAACAAACCCACATGTTTAAGGTTTTTTTCAGTAACTGAATCTATACAAGCCTAAGTCTTCACTGTGGTGTAAGTAGCCAGGTTTACCCAATATAAGTTACCTATTCTGCCTGTGCTGAATTGAAGAAAACATGCAGAATACGTTCAAAGTCTCCCTCACCAGACTGACCTAAAAGTCTGTCCAAAAATGAACTTCAGAAATTAACTTACTACCAAACACTAAGTTCAGAATTACTCTATCTCTAAATATTGACTTCCATCCACGAATGGGAATGAAATAATTATGTAATCGTTTTAAGATAAGGAGATAGGCAGCAGTATTTTAGTTTTAAGGTATACTCCACATGACTCCTCCTGGAGGAAAGCCACCCCTGCCAACAGCAGGTCAGACCTCACCTAGTTTTATCTCCAAGGTATATCTCAGATGGTGAAGAAGTCAGCAAGCCTGGGGAACAACTCCTAAAGATGCTTCAATTTAAAGCACTGGGCTATGTATTAGTCCTGGTCTATGATTCAGGTGTGAGCTGGGAAGAAATCACACCACATTTGCCAGCTCAGCTGTGCTGACCTCACGATGCAGGATGGATCTGAAGTTCTAACACACCCCTCTCCCTGCACTGGACAGTCTATCACATCTTCTATAGCCAAAGTCACAGTCTGTTTCCCCATCCTCCCAACTAATCAGACGATTTAGAGAAATAAAATACCATCAGGCAAGAGGCAAACTCATTCACAAATGAAGGCATATACAATAAAGCACATAAAGACAGAATATATGTGCAGAACCCAAAGGCTGTCCATGTCAACAGGCCAGTCGAGTCAAACCACTAAAAGCAATATTCTCTTCAGGCAAAATAACTTTGTCAAACACACAAACAAAAATCAAAAAGCACTGACAGTGAATGTAACTCAAACAGCTAATAGAAATTTCTCTAGTTTTGTCATCTAAGAGCATCCATAAAAAAAAAAAAAAAAAAAAAAAAAAAAAGAGAAAAAAAAAAGAAAAAAGAAAAGGCTATTTCACAATTACGTGGCCACTAGGTCTAAATTGCTGACACGTTCCTTTGGCACGCCTGGAACACCCAACAACAAAAGCCAATTTAGCTTTTTGTTTGGCAATGTCTTTGAAATATGTACCAGATAACAAATAGAGTTCTAAATTTTGTCCTGACTTACAAAATCTCTGCAGGGGGTATGTGAGTCAGAGAAATGCTCGCTGTACTGATACTATGACAAAGCTCTCTCAGCAGCTTGTTTCAATAGTCTAGCATACGTATGTCAACCTTGTAGAACTCTAACAATTTACTAGAGATTCTGAAATAGAACAAGCAGTTTGTGTCTCATCTGTTATTAGAATTTTATGATCAAATTATTTTAAAAATAGGAAGAACTGTAGATTAATCATAGCTAAATATCAATATATAGAATTATAATTAATAGACCAAATCAAGCAAACAGACATAAACTGCACCTTAGTCACACTGGCAGCTCAGCTGGCATGTCCTGATGATAGCTCTGTCACAGAGTCAAAGTATTCCTATCTCTGTATGTTCCAGCATCCTCAGTGGTAAGTGCTCATTTAGGTTTCTCCATAGGACAAACAGAAAGCACATCTGATGTTGAACTTGAAAATGATATTTTTATTAATAAGAAATATTCCAGGATGCTCTGACAACTTCTGTTAACTGAACAGTGCATGTGTGTATTTTTTTAAATTTCTCATTCTAGTTTCTTCAGAAAAGCCATTTAACAGCCCAGTGCCACCACCAGCTGGATCCTTTACAAGCTTCCCCATAAACTGTTAATTGCATGCAGCTCATTTTTGTGTTAAACTTTTCCCCTCTCCAGCTCCAGACACAACCCTGGGATGCAGCAAGTGCAGGAGCACTGCTGTGACTGACACTGCTGTCTTATTGCCCTTTACAGCAGCTGCACAACTCAGAGGAAACCACAGTTTGCTCTTCTGAGAAGGAGAATGCAAACCAATTAACACAATGCTGATTAAATGGGCACATAAATCTCTCTGGCTGGTCTGGGTATAGTTGATAATTTGTTGAAATCTCCCCACTACAGTCCCCATCCAGAAGGCAGTATTGCTTCAGCAGCAATAAACCAGTTGTTCTCCAAGCAGGAAACCACTGTGTGATCCAGGAACCTGATGTCAGCTGCTGTGCCAGGAAAGGGCTGGCACACGGAGGTGAGGACAACAGGCAAGTTCATTATTTGGGTAGAATTAGAGAAGCCATACTCTTACCAGTAAAGAGATAACAGATTCAAGTACTGAGGACACATTTCCTGCAGGGTGTTTTCAAAAACATTCTCATGATGATCAAGGGGCCAAATGTTCACGCTGGCACTGATGTGTCCCTTCCGTGTGCAAACAGCGACTGGATTATGCACAAACCTTCCCCTTTTGGATCTCTAATTCCTACTGAGAGTGTTCAAGCTTGTGTTGTGTGCTTGCAATGTTTTGAGATGAACCTAAGCCAAGGACTGGCCTGGGCCTACTGAAGTTCATGGGGTTTCAAATCTGGGAATTTGGCTGAAATCCACTTCCTCACAATAGCACCAGCCTGTCAGAAAATTCTCCCCCATGTTTATGCACTGCATGCTAAGGCTTATAGCCTGGTAATCACAGTCTGTTCTTCTTACTTTTTTCAGGTTTAGTGGTTTTTTTTGTTTGTTTGTTTGTTTGTTTGTTTTTGTTTTTTTTTTCTATTCAAAACTCCATAAACTTCAACACCTTATTCTACCACAAATGCTTTTTTCTCTGCTGTATCCCCAGTTCCTAAGAACGCTGCAGTCTGTAACTAGAAACAAGGGGTGTTACATAAGCACATTCTTCTGGCAAAGATTTCAGTGCAAGTTGAAATGGTTTGGTCTAAAACAACCATACAGTGCCCACATCCAGTGCAGCATGGAAAAATCCAGCTCAGAGATCTCAGAAGAAATTTGGTTTGGCCTCACGTGCACAGAAATACTGCTGGCAAAGCACATGATATAATTTTCCATTTCCCTCTAATTCATTAGTAGATGGATGCCTGTCTTGCACAGAATCATGGACCTTATAGAGAAACAGTCTGAACTAATATATCTCACCTTGACCTCAATACCTTCAGCAATGCAGCAAGTTTCACCTTTTAGATGATAATGTCTTGTCTTACAAAGAGGAAGTTAGATATTTCATAATTATTCTCAGCCACTGATTGTCCACATATTTCTTTCCAGACAAAATAAAATAAAGGATAAACTAAGTTTGGTTTGGACAAGATAACAAAAGATGACTTTGTGTTCATCAAAAATACTCCACAGGCTGCTCAAGGAAGACAAACAGAACACAGGAATACTGCACCCAAAAATCCTTATAAAAATGAAAACCATCTTTATCTTGCTATAAAACCAGAAAAAGCAAGACCAGGATGGAGGAAAACACAAGGAAATAATTAAAAATAAAAACAAAGTGATGGTCAAGGTACTGTTGCTGCTGAACACAGCTCCAAATGTAGGCTCAATCTCAAACTGAAGGGTCAGAGAACAAAGCATTTTCGTGGTGATGTTCTGTGTTAGTACATTAAGTCCTTAAAAATTAGCAGAAAAGATCAGCTTAAAAAGCTTTGACTGCTCTACACTTTGTAGAGATTCAAAATCCAGGTCACTGCTTGAGATAAACAGTCAAGTTCAAGAAGACAAGGTGAAGCTCTTCTTGAAACTGCCATTTATCAGTTTACACATGTGCACTGACTAGAGCTGAGCCTTCAGCTTCACACAACCGAGGTGCTCAGCTGACAGAGCTCTTCTTCAAAACAACAGATGCATTACAAATGCATAAACAAAATGTCTCTAATAAGACTAAACAGCTGAAATTTGATCTATTTATATTAAATTACTCTGGATAAGCTTATGCC